ACCATCACTCCTAAGAACTCTTATAAGAACTTGAAGAGAATATTCATCAGGTCCCTAAAATATAGTTCCAAACTTCCAATGGAGAGTTTTAATAGTATAATTTTAAATTTAGAGACGCAAAATAAAAAAAAATTAAGAAGGAACCGTTGGATTCCCAGAATTAAAGGAAGATAAGGGAAAAAGAATATGCATGGTACATCAGCTCTTTTTTGGGTGCAAGGGTACATCAGCTTTATTTGTGCATGTTAGGCATAGCACCTTTACTGCTTTCGACACAGTGCTCTTTTCTTATAGCAGAAGCAATTTGCTTAAGCTTTTACGACCGTCCCAAGGTATCATTTCTGATACTTTTTGCTTTCCGTACACATTTCTCCAGCAACACAAATAATTTTGCTACGTGTACGTATCAGATTTTGGCTACCTGCAAGCTTGGTCGTCAATCATTTGCGATCTCCCCACAAGCTTCGAACGTTAGAAATTTAGCAGCAGTCCATGCAGATATTCGCGAATCACTTTAGAGTCTGTTTGTAACTTCTTTTGTAAACTCATGTGACTATGTGAGCATGGGTTGTTTATAAATTTTTTTTTTTGGAAGAGTTAGAGCATCTCCAACAATGCCTAACTAAATGAAGTTCCTTGCTATTTTAACAAAAAAAATGCAGAAAAATAATTCTATTAAGCTACCTAAATGACTAGCTAAATATATTGAGAAAACTTCATTTTAATTGACACACCCCGATCGAGATCAGGGCATGCTGGCCGTCACGTGGAAGTGACGTAACCATGTGCACAGTGCGGAAGCTAATAAAATAATAATAAAAGTACGAATAAATAAAAACCAGCTTTACACAAAGTAATAACATACATGTGCAAGCGTAAGTGTGAAAACAAAGTTCAGAGCACGAAGACCTAATGCAGTCCGGGAGAAACAACACTACATAAAGGCACCCGAAGGTGGTCCTACACTGGTGATAATCTGTCAGATATGTCGGGGAAATCCTCTGGGAAGCCACCAGAAGTGCTAAGCAATTAGAACCTGGAGGGGCGCAAAACAAAAGTCTGAGTGGGTAAAAACAAACCTTTTCAAAAACAAGATTTTAACCTCTCGCCGTAAAACCTGTATACTTCCCAGAAAAGTAAAATATACACATATATAGTCATGCTCGGAAATATGCCATGCCAAATGTCACTAAATAGAAGGTAAGTGCTCAGGAATATCAAATCAATGCCATGAATCTGTCAGCTGGAGTCACCTAACGTGACCTTAACGGCTGAATTTAGAGCTCAAATCTCCATCTCGCTAACTGTACCTGCACATAAGTCGGAACCACCTAAAGTGGTATGTACGACAAGACTGGGTGTATACTAAGTACGCTCAAGTGCTACAATCACGTGAAGGCTGGGCGACGAATCGCGGGTCACCTACAAGTCGGAACCACCTAAAGTGGTCTGTACGACAAGACTGTGCGCCTATCTTGGATCCAAGATGAGCGTGTGGTGTGGGAAGTGAACATCACGTGAAGGACTATGCCCAACTCTGGGCGGGAGCACTAACACCGGGGGTGCAGGTTATGAGCTCTCTATGTACCTCAAATCACTACTGAATGTAAACATAAATCATAACTCACCTGACACTTACCTGTGCGTCTGTAGCACCAAACATACAAATATATAAGGGCTACTAACAATGCATAAACGAATGGCAAACATAATGCATGGCATATAAACGTATAAACGTTTTAATTCATTTTCTGGGAAAAACATAAATATATAGGTATATACGGAAAACCAAAAGCCCACTCACTGGTATGTAGAAGGGTCGTAACCCCCTTGCCTCGAGTGACCACACTCGTCCTCGGGGTAGGTCTCACCTATATGCGAAACAACTATAAAAACATTAATTTTAAAGCACATAACCAACCTTTAGAAATAACTTCTCATACAATGTTCAAATGGGGTGTATGAATACACCAACGTGATCTACTCAACCTCAGGAACATCCCCATATTTTTAGAAAAAATTTCCACCGCCGCACGCGCCCCCACGCGCAGGCACGTGCCTGGCACACTGACGGTGTCAGTTAACGCCGTCAGGAATATTCCGTTAATTTTAATGGATTCCGTTAACGTCGTTAGGAATATTCCATCCAAACTGACGAAATATTCCGTCGTCTTCTCCGGCGAAGCTCCGGTGCCGGAAAATCATGAAATTTTTAAAACTTCGTATCTTCTTCGTTTTTCAACCAAATTTCATAAAATTGGTACCAAAATGAAGCTTACAACGAGAGGAACAAATCCATACCACTTTCAAGCACTAAAATCCACGGAATCTCGCAGGGAAAACACCACCAACTCCAGCCAGGCTTGAAACTCACTATCCCGACGTCCAAAACCTTCAAACGAACCACCCCGAGCCTCCTAAGGACCTCACCAAGCTTCCTACAAGCTTGAAATTCCCAAAACCACAAGAATTAACGTGTGCATGAACAGTGACCAAATCGGGGTATCCCGAGTTCGACGTGAAAACAAAGGTATCCTTACCTGAAATGGGTATGGTTGAACTCCTACGGACCTCACGAGCATGAATGTGTACTTTGTTTCCTTGATCTATGAAGGTTTGGTGGGTTTTTTATTGTGTCCGTACGTATTGGATAGAAATGGGAGAAAGAGAGGGAGCTCGGGACAAGGGTGCAGGGCAGGAGAAAAAGTGAGGGGGTGTGGGAGTGTGTGTGTGGTGTCTAACACCTGCCAACAAATCCCAAAAACAACCACACAACGAAATAACCACTCTAGGGGCAAAAACGTCATTTCACCCCTACGGTTCGAAAATCTGGAACTGGCTGTCACATTAATCCTGAAAAATTATGTGTCTTAATTTGTAACTTTATGCGCCTGATACATTTAATCATCTCATTGATTAATTACATTTTGATGTTTTATTTCTCTCTTTTTTTTTCCTATTTTTAATGTATTAATTACATTTAAATTTAAATTTTTATTTTATTCATCGTAATATATTTTGATGTCTACATTTAGGTAAACTATTTTTTTTATATAATATATTCTTGTGCAATTTGTATGTTCTTTATTTAGGTACGAGGTAACATTAGGGAGACTAAATTTATGGATAATGCTAGGGAGACCAATTTTTTAAAACCAAATTGCAAACCAAATGATATGTCACCAATAAGAAAGAATCATGTTAATCGACACTTAATTAATAATCTAATCATCTTCATCCACAACCACATCATTTGGTTTAAAAAAATTGGTCTCCCTAGCATTACCCCTAAATTTATAGATAAAATTTTCAAACTGAATGATGTTCTCCTAATAGGAAATAAGCACGTTTATCAACACTTAAGCAATAATCTAATCGTCAACTTCTATGTCTTTTAGTTTACAAAATTTTGTCCACAAATTTAGTCTCCCTAGCATTATCCCATTGATATATTTCAGTATATAGATCGATACAAATAAATAGGTACATTAATGCAATCGTATACATTTTGGTACGCACATTTCGGTATAAACTTTTAAGTATATTAATTCAATATAAATATATTTTGGCCATACATTTTGGTATTGACTTTTAGATACATTAACTCAATATAATACATTTCAGTATATATCGGTACAAAGAAGTCAATGTTATATATTTCAATACAGTCATTTATGTACACTTATGTATATACATATTTCTATGTCACTAATTTCTTTTAATATTTTCTCATTTATGTTCATTAATTGATAATTGAAAGAACTAACATGTGCATATTAATAAAATTTTAATTTTAAACATTAAATAAAAATACACATTAAATAATCAAAGAGTGCTACTAGACCCACTTCATTGTCTTATTTCTCCACCCACCTTATAATTTTACGCACTATAAAAAGTTGAAAAATTAAAATGTTATTTCTTCACCCACTATCATTCCTAAAATATCCTCTAATTTATATCTAAACTCATTCTATTTTAATTCATCAGAATGTCATCACTCTGGCCACACCAACCCCCTCAAAACGTCACCCACCTGTCAACAATGAAAACATTTACACTTGCTTGGCAGCATCTCCTTTAGGAAGGAAGAAAGAAAAACGGGAGAGGGAAGTAGAGAGAGAAACGGGAGTGGAAGGAAGATAGAAATGGAATGGGAGGAAGAGAGAGAAGCACGAGGGAGAGAGAGGATTAAGATTCCCTCTCTTTTAGTGACAGAGCCAAAAATTCATGTTAGGAGGGGAACACTTTAAACCAAAATGGACATAATATATGTCGAAACTATCTCATTCTTTTGGTCGCCTTGGTATCAAATTTAAAGGTGAGTGACCATGCATTTATTCTTCATTATAAATGATCAACTATATCAAGAGTTGAAAATAAAACATTATTAAAAGCACATCCATTTATCTTCATTCTTAATATCAAATTCAAAGGTGACTGGCCATGCATTCATTTTCTCATAGTGACCAAGAGAACATTTTTCTAAAAACATGAAGGTATGAGAGCATTTGAAGGGTTTTTTGTGCTAATTTGGAAAAAGGAAATATTTTTCTCTTCTTGATTTTATAGACGATCTAACAGAGGTAAATGAGATTAACCAAAATAATAGTCTACAAGCAAAGGAAAGAAATGTAGATAGGCAAGAAACAGAGAATATGATCAACTAATATTAGTATAGAACTATAATTTCGAATCTTTAATGCAAAAAAAACTTAAGGCTTTGTATTTGTTTGGTTGAAGTTAATTGGACTAATCAATACAATTACAAATTCAAGTTGATAGCGGTATTATAAAACTAATTAATGATAGTAGATGTCATTAGGAAAAAATAATTTGAGGATAGGCCCGAGCCTATCCTAGTCTAAAAGTGGCTCAGCCACTGCTCTCTTTGTTAGTGATGGTTGAAATTAATGCAATTTTGATGGAAAATGGGTGGACAACAGTGGTGTAGGGGTCGGGTTATGGAGTGGTGGTGCGTGATGAGGAGGGAGATTTTGTTGTAGGGCCAACTGGGAAAAAGGAAGAAATTAGTGTCCATTTTGAGTGGAGATTGTGGCGATGAAAGAATCAGCTAAATTGGTAAAGGGTTGGGTTTGATCTTTTTGTTGGCATGGTGGCTCAAGTTATTGTCCTATTTCAGTTTTCCTAGTTTGCGAGGGAGAGATAGAGAGACGGTGGGGGTAGAGAGAAACGGGGTGGAGGTAGGGGAAAGGTAGCTGGTTTTTTTTTATAGGTTTTTTTTTCTTTTTTAAGCTATATTATAATAAAATAAATAAGGGTTAAAAAGTTGTTTTATAAAAGGATAAACATGTCATTAATATTTTTACTAAAATGTGGGTGAAAAATAGGATTTTTTTTTTTTTATAACATTTAATCTTTTGCAAGTACTAAGTCTCAAAACTGCTAATTTTAAATAGGAGGAGAGAGATAGTTACATTTTTTTGCTAAAGGAACTTTCTCAAAAGTGAGATTTCCAAAAGTAGGACTCTCCATGTACTATGTGTTATCTCATGTTTTGGCATAATATTTTATAATGTTAGCATAGAAATCGATTAAATTGTGAGATGAAGAGAGTCCATGAGAAGTTCTATTTTGAGGGAGTCCCCTAATTTTTCTTAACTATAAAATTGCCTGGTTTGGCGACTCCAATTGCAACATGTTGTCTGCGTTTGTTTCCGTATTTAATTTCTTCTAAGTGAAGCAAAGTTCAGAAAGAGAGAAAATAATGGAGATCAGACCGCACGATGAAGATGAAGTGCACGGGGCATCACGGACCGGGAGTGTAGAATCCTTAAACAGGTTGATCGAAAAAGACCCAGACATTTTTCTAAGCAAAGTTCAGAAAGAGAGAAAAAAAACAATGGAGATCACACGGCATGATGAAGATGAAGTGTACGAGGCATCACGGACTGGGGATGTGGAATACTTAAACAGATTGATTGAAAAAGACCCAGAAATTCTAAGGAGAATATCCCTGCAGACCGGGAAAACCGGAACCCCCTTGCATGTTTCGGCTTTGCTCGGCCACGCTGAGTTTACCAAAGCCCTTTGCACTAAAAATCCCAAACTTGCAGAGCGGGTGGACGCCGATGGACGCACGCCCCTGCACTTGGCTTCTGCTGAGGGCCACAAGGAGACTGTCGAAGCTTTGTTATCTGTGTATGCTGATGCGTGCTTGCGTTGCGATGAAAAGGGAAGAATCCCTCTTCACTATGCAGCCATGAATGGAGAAGTTGAGGTGCTCCAGAAGTTGATTGATAAGAATCCTGAGTCCATTTATGTCAAAGTTGAAAACAGATCGAAAGAAACAGTTCTGCACTTGTGTATTAAACACAACCAGTTAGAGTGCTTGAAACTGTTGGTTGAAAGGGACGACAGTAATCGCGAGTTCCTCAACTCAAGAGCTGGCTGTGATGGTGGTGTGACCATCCTGCACTTAGCTTTGATGCTAAGGCAAATTAAGGTACGTACATATATTTCCATTTCTATACTGGATATTCTTAGTTTTTTTACTATATTAATTAATAATAGCAGATGCCCACACTATGTTAAAAAATTAAAAACTGAGTTACCGCATATGAGGAGGTATTGCGGAGCAAATTTGAGACTCTATCTCCCTCCCTTCGACTGCACATGGGCGGCGGTGGAATGAATCCACTCCCTTCTTGTGCTGCATATGGGTTTCCCTTCCCCAGATCTGCAACCCACTCCCTTCCCTTACCTCCCGTTCAACTGGAACAAAAGAAAGAATCCCGCCCATCTGCATCTCAAGAAGTTGTAGAAGTATTAGCAGCAGCACCGCTGGCGGTCATCGGTTCGGCGTCTTCCGCCGTCACCAAGTCCGAATCCGAAGACAACCCATTGTCGCTGCGGCCTAATCCGGATACTCCAGTTGGCTGGCCAGCCGACGGAAAGTTCAGTCTCGAATGGGTTAGGAACCTCGTGTTTGGTTTTTTTATTGGGCATCTAGAAATCTGGACCCGACCCAATTGCCCGTGTTTCCCGTAGTGGTTGTCGATAGCTTGGTCGTCTGCCCATCTAAGATCCTCCACAAAGAGGCCAAACGTCGATCAGTTTGACCTGGAATCTAGCGTGGTGGTCTTCGGAGACCTTCGTGGACCTCCTTTTTCTTTTAAATGATCTTCGCCCTTTTAGGTTTTTAGTATTTTAGTTTTTTAGTTTTTTAAATTTTTAAAAAAAATTATTTAAATTTCTTAAAATGTTTTAATATACACGTGCGGCCATATTGATATGTGGCGTTCAGTTATAATCTATACGGTTGCAACATCATCAGGAAATTCTAATAGAAAACTTAACAGATGTATGAAAGTATTCCAAAATTAATTATGACTTTAAGTACCAAACTGGGACGAAAAAATTTTGATGTATCAAATGTTAAAAACTAAGAAACTTCAAAATAGTAAACTGATATTAATCCTAGTTTATGTGCGATTTCTCTTGTTTTTCCCCCCTAGGAGCATAATTTTCCACCATATTAATGAGAAATTTTTTAGTGTAAACGAACACGGATGGTACATCACGTGTTTTTTATATAAGTGGGGAGAAATTATATTTTTTAAGTTATTAACTTTTTGACACACTTATCCCACTATTTGTACAGTAACACGTGGTGTACCACCCGTGTTCCTGTCACATTGAAAAATCTCTCAATATTAATGAAGTGTATTTATTATTTACAGACTATACGTTACCTACTTTCCGTTGATGCTATAAGAGCAGAAGCAGTTGGTGTGAATGGGATGTCTCTGACCATGTCAGATATCTTAGAGTACAGCAGCGTTGCAAGAGAGGACTTTAGCAGAAGCTTAGAAATTCAACAGATTTTGATGGACGCAGGATTAATCAGAAGAGAAAATAATGAAAATGATAATCCTAACTCAGCTGTCGCCGCTGCTGCTGATGTTGTATCACCAAGTCCAAGAAGGGTTGAGAAGAAATGGTGGTTCTTGACAGAATTGAAGAAGTGGTGTTTATATCCGCGTGATTGGGTGAAGGACTTACGTGGCATGCTGATGATTGTGGCTACGATGATCTCGACCATGACTTTTCAAGCCGTAGTCAACCCACCTGGAGGTGTTTGGGACCATAATGATACAAACACTACCCTTGGTAATATAACAATTTGCAGTGAATCGAGAGTGTGTAAAGCTGGAACTGCAGTGTTAAGCTACTACGGTAAAACTCCCCACGTTGACTTCGCCAATTTCATAGTACTCAATACCATCTCGTTCACTGCTTCTGTGAGTGTCACCCTTTTGCTCGTTAGTGGACTTCCTCTCCACAATCGGCTCTCAACGTGGCTCTTATCGATGTTCATGTGCTACGCTCTCTTATTCTTGGCATTCACCTACCTAGCGGTGCTGTCCATAATCGACCCTAAATACAATTCTTCGGTTTCTTGGGTCCCGCCATTCATTATTCTTTTGATTGCGTGGCTGGTCAGCTGTGTACTTCACGCTACCCGGTCCGCGTCCTGGTTAGCATCAGTTCTCAATAATATGATCGGCTCTTTTTCACGTAACGATGCAACGCGTTTTGAAGAGAATGATGCGCCTGCAGTTGTATGATTACTCTGCCGCAGTGTATTTGCTTGAAAAAATAATTAACTAGGTTATGCACCTTGTATGCATGTAGCAATTAGGGTTTAGGGTAATGAACTAGGTCAACGACGCTTTCTGTATCGGGGTTGGTAATTCAAGAGTGCTGCTTAGTTATGATAAATAATCCATCTGCTATGCAAATTAGAAGTGTTTGTTGTCTTTAATTTGATGCTGGACGGTAGCTACTTTTTTATTATTATTCATTTATGTCATTTGCTATCACATTAGCAAACTAACAACTGTTCTCATTCTCTCTACTAGTAGTTTGTTATTAGTTAATACAGTATAAATGGCTTTCCCAAAAAAATAATGCAGGAGCTCTGTAAATCAAATATATAGGAAAAAAAAAATTAAAAAAAAAAAAGAAAAAAATAGTGGTTTTTGTCTAACTCCATGTGAGGATCAAATTTTTAGTCACAATTCACAACCCAAGAGCCCTATAAATCAAATTTACATGAAAAGATAAAATAAGAAAGGTAAATTACAGTCGAGTCAAAAAGTAACATTTATTTGAAAAGATTATTATGGAAATAGATAAACAAACAATGACATTAAAAACCAAATTGATAAGGCATTCAACAATCAACATAACCCACGAACCCAAAAACACCAAACCATCAATCATGGATCTTTACAAATCATACAACCTTTTTATAAATAAGTAAAAATGTCAAAATCAATATTTTATGACAACATTTTTTCATCAGTCAATCAATAAACACACAACACAGAATCACATACGCGACAAAAATTCAAACCCATAAATCCAAAATTAGCAATGTTATTTCTTACTCCCCAAAAACAATCCAAATCTTAGCGGTTACATTCATTAGTCAAACACTCAACCACTCAGGCACATCAACTACAACTTGGGAATGTTATGCAAATCTTAGGCAGCTTGAATCATTAAATTTGAGTTGGAAGAAGCTCTGTTACCTGCTCTGCTAGTTGAGAAGTGTCACCAAATTCGGCACTATCATCAACATCAACACATTTCACGCACTCCTGCTTCCAAAACATTTCACAAAATCGAAAACCAAATGAGATTATGTAGCATTAAAGAGTGACGGAAAAATAGATTAAGAAAAGCAATTAATATGAAATATAGAGGCTGAATGATGTTGTCCAATAAATAAGACAGCTGTATATATTTCTCGACCATAAGAAAACATCAAATTAATAGAGGCATTAATCCTAAGTTTGCCATTCATTGTTGTCGGTCTAAACTTGATGACATATTGTAAAGTCCTCTTACATACAAATTAATCAAATATTAATTTATTTCCATGAGTTATTTGATTTTGCAAATTCAAAATAATTGAAGAATACTGAAAATTACTAAACCCCATCACAACATCCCATTAGTGAAAAATCAAAGCCAAAAGTAAATTACAGTTTCTTATAGAGCATATCCATATCTTTCTAAGCATCCACAGATAGCATACCCAAAATAACAAATTCAACTTCAATATAATAAAAAATTTAAAAAAAAATTAGCCAAATTGGAATGGTTAGATCAAATAAAGATTTAAGTCAACCAATTACACAAAATAATTCATGCAAAGTAGGCTCCTAAAAAAATATACCACTATGGTGGTGGAGGAGGCCCAGGCTCAAACAGTGGAGGACAGCATCATTTAAATATACCGCAGCAGCACAGAATCCACGAACTGCATAATCAAATCCGAAATTTTAAAATTTATATTTAAATTTAAATTTGAAAAAAAAATTGCAGTAGAATTGTATAATGAGAAATTCTCGAATGTGGATAAATTAATCTTGCGGGATGAGATCAGTTGTATTGGGCTGGCAACCGTCTTATGCTCAAATCCTACTAAATTTATCATACACCCTTCCAACTACAATTCAAGGGAAGAAGTTCCAAGTCCATGCATAATGTTTGCTCAACCAAAACAAATTGCTTTTCAATATTAAAATAGCCAACCGACCAACACTAATTTGATAAAATTGAACATTTGGGGTTACATATCCACATATTTAAGATCGAACAAACCTTCTCATGAAGACCACCCAAAGGTCCATTACTGAGTTGTGTGACCAAAGGATTTACTGCACTTGAGTTTCCTCGTGCAGCTGCAGGAGATATGAGAATACGTTGACCGTCAGCCACTTCTCCGCTTAAGGTTTGAGTCACTGATAATGCATAATTAATAGCTTCCTGCAAAGAAGTGAAATAAGAAACCTTAATTTGTTAAAATGTGAGTAATTACAGTTTTCTCAATTGATTAAAACATCATACGATGGTGTTTTCTGGGCTTTTTTTTCCTTCCTTTCACAGGCCTTTATTTCATTAGCCATCTACATAATTGCAATTGATAGAATCGGTGTTCTTTGAAATAATCATAACACTTCACAACACAATGGCAGCAATTTATACAAATTCTAACAACAAATTGTCAAAAACAATGAGAACAATTACCAGAAATTTCAAATCTTTTGGGGGTTCAGGGTAATTACCAGAGAGACAAAAGCTAAAATCAACAGTAGTCCAATAAGAACAGCTTCGATCTGAGAAATACAGTGCAATTTCTGAAGGAAAACAAAAGAGCGAGAAAACCCTAAAATTCCTAAGAACCCTAATTTATAAACCCTAAACAAACGCAAAAGGAGAGGAAAACAAATAAGGGGAAAATCGGGAAATTCAACATACCATAATTGGGGCGATGACGCTTTCCGACGGCCAAATTCGTCGACACTAGAGGCAGTTGTCGACCGTCACTGTACGTCCATTTCACCACCGCCATGTTTGAGGCTTTCGACCATCACTACTTGGTCTGTGGGCTTCATATCGAGATATATAGGGAGTGGAGAGAGAGGCAAAACAGAGGAAGATGAAAGATTGTGGGTTTTCCAATAGAGAAAGACAAAAACAAGAAGAGTGAGAGATGAGAGACGTCCTAAACCATATGGACAAAATTACCCTCTCAACTTTTGAGAATTACCCTCCCAACCCACCCCCATATGGCTGGCATTGTTGTAAATAGAGTGAATAGACTAGAAAATACGCTCGGACGTTGCTGCGGAAACCAAATGTTTCAAGCATAATCGGATAAGTTGAATAAATTCAACACAATTATGAACAAATGGAGAGATACATGAATGAATGAGGTCGATAAGATAAGCAGTTTTTCTTTTATATACATTCAAGTGAGTTGGCATATAAACACATTGTACAATGAGTGGGAAGAAACTGAACATTTTCACTTAGAAATAGATGGTTCCCAAAAAAATTCTGCTTCCTGAAGAAACAGAAGAAACATGTAGTTCACACAAATAATATGTGTCATGCAGTGTAGGTAGCCATTTCAACAAGTAATTAAAAACAAAAAGTGTTTAGGACTTGTTCAAGTAGCTAATTTCGTAACCAGACTGCCTCACATCATGCCCCCACCCTGCAAAGGCACCGACACCAGACCACCTCCCTAGAAACCGGCCTTAAAAGCCCATACCCATACTTCCCTCACCCAATAAATCTTCATGGACATGTTGCAAAGAAAGGCACACATAAGGAACACAAATGCACGAAATAAACAAACATTCATAGAAAAATTGTTTCAAATTTACATGCCGATCCAGCAACAGCCCCGATTCAAAGGTCAACCCCTTCTCTATGTCACGCAAACATCATTCATATAAGAAGTTTGAGATTTCTTACATTATACAAATTTATTCAATTAGAATCAAACTAATAAAGGAACTAATAAGATTTCATCAACCATTTTCTAAATGTTATAATTAGATTGTCCTGCTTAAAAGAAAATTATACTTACAGAACGATGGCAAAGGCATTTGCTAAGCCAGATAAAACCTTGCAAAGACCAAAAATCCTTGAAAATCAATATATTATACTACATCTGTATCAAACAGTAGTACAATTTTCTTTTGTTTTTGCAATTTGAAGTTTTAAACCAACGACCTCCAATTGTTAAGATTATACCTACTTTGGTCAGCACTATGATTAACTCAGTAACATGCATAGGGGTGTGAGTGTGCGTGAGAGAGAGAGAGAGAGAGAGAGAGAGAGAGAGAGAGAGAGGGAAAATAAAGCAAACAAGCAAACAATATGAATCACCTTAAGGAAGGATGAATATCATCACTGAAGTCAGAATCCAACCCACTTAAGATACCTCTGATGTCCTCCTCAGAATACGTTTCTCTAAATGCCTTTAATTTCACCATTGAAGGTGGCAAATCTCCAATCATAACTTTCCCATTCTGAGTCTGAATTAAACAGAAAAGCACAAAAAGGTTGTAATTAACTCAAAGCCCACATATCAAAGAAAAACTATCACTTAAGATCCACAAATACCACACGATATCAAAATTCAGATAAACCTCCTATACTTTAAACATCAACTTTAGATTCTAGACTGCACAGGTCAACCTGCGTGAACTGGATTTGAAGCGATTGATCCGTAATGTGAACACCCACATAACTTTAGATTCAGGATTCATCCTTCTTCATCATAAAAATTGCTCAGAACTGCAATTTTCAATACAATTTGAGCCAAAATTCAATTTAGTATCTGTCATCATCAAAATCTTCTTCCGAGTCAAAACTCATGATTGGGGGAGTTCAATAAGCAACAGATAATTACCTAAAGGGTTCATCCACCAACAACAATCCCTTCCTTAATAGCCGAATGAAAAGAAAAAAAAGTTTAAATTTTGATGGTGCTTTCTGTGCCAAAGATAAGATATGAAAGAAAACTTAACATGTGTACATGTTCAAGTAAAGTGAACAAAGATTTTATACAAAACAAAAAAAATTAGCAATTTGTAAATTTATTTTGTCATGCCATACACTTTTTTTAAGAATCGAGTAACATATATTTTTGGACATACTGGTTCTTTGCGCAAATAAACTGAAGGTGTAGCCTCGCCTTCTTCTGTGGAATACTTCTCTAACTGCAATAGCAGACAAACTGATGATGATGCGGACTATTGAATTCCTGAAAAAAGCATGAAATTTTGAAGCTTTACAAAGTGTAACAATAAAACTGCACCCCGTGGATTCACTAACTCATAATACATTCCAATTCTAACAAATATATATGATAACTATACTGCAAAAAAACAAAATGAACTTCAATGAAAAACAAAAGCAACACAACGAAAAATCACCCTCGACAAACAATCGATCAAGTAAGGTCAAACCGAATCAAAACCTTCAAAACTAAAAAACAGTGACTGCAAAAAAGAAGAACAAAGTCTAAACCAAAATAAATTCAAAAATACACAACACTTCAAAAATCTAAATCAGAACACATAAAATTCAGATAGATAAACTTGAGTGAAACACTTCGAAGAAAACTTGAATGATTCGAATAGAAATTATGGCAAGAGATAATTGAGGAAGATGGCGAATTATAAATCGGAACATATAAACTTCAAAGAGAAAAAAAAACAGCAGAGAAACGAAAATATAATTTGAATGATTCGAATCACCGTCGATCGCTATTTAACAGAATACATAACTCCGTTTCTAACGAAAAAACAGGACATGACGTCATTTTCGTGGATTTAAAAAATGTCCTTTCTTGAAATGTTTAAAAAGTGTTGTCTTAATATATAATTAAGTATTGAAAGTATACTCTAAGTGTAATTTTTCCCTAAATATATGAGTACAAATTTAATTAACAAGAAAATTGGTAAAGATTAAAAAATAGGTGCAAATTAAAAATAAAAATATATGATACAAAAACTTAACCATGTAAATATACCAAAGTGTAACGTTTTGGAAATGTTTAATAATTTTAAATTATAAAATTTAAATATGCTAACATGTAAATCTATTGTTATTCAAAGTATGACACGATAACAACTAAGGGACCTTGATCAAAAGTTGAAAAAAAATAAGGTTTCAATTACTAAATTGGAAAATTGATATATTGAAACCTAATTCTTTTTTTTTTTTTGTATGGTTTTTATCACATATGGTCTCTGAAATTGGATATTTTAATCAAAATGTTACTTGAAACAAAAAATCCATCAATTTGGTATTTGAAACGAAACCAATAGATCAAATTGATCTTTTTGTCAAATTTTTTGTTATGTGTTAATGTGACATGCAAATGAATCCTACATGTCCAATTATATCAAGCAACATGGATTAATAATAAAAACCAAACTTCTATAAATATTTAGAAACTAAAATTAACAAAGTGTACATGATATCATTTGTTTAAAAAAAAATAACAAAATTAGGGTACCCTCTCCTTTTAAGTGACTGACAATTAAAAGCTAGGGTTTTTTTTTTAAAGAAGTTTTAACGAAATGTCCACTATACTGTTCACTTTAATGAAAAACCATATTTTTACACTAAAAAATCAAATTTGGTACTATTCACCTTACCCTTTATTTTGTTCTTATCGTTAAAACTCAAAGTTTTCAAGCACTTTTCATTAGTTTTCCTTTCTTTTTCTTTTTTTATCTTTGCTGCCGATCCAAGAACAAGGTTCTTGAGAGTCGTCGTATCAAATATACCATAAAGTGAAGCCAAAAAGCCATACTGGGAAGGAGATTGCCACCAAGATCGATGTTGCAACAACGAACTGCGGCAGTAGAATAGCCGGAATAGCTGATGGAGGATAAGAGAGGGAGGACACACGAGATTGAGTGCCCGCACTGCAGCATTATGGCGTCCATGGAAGCCTGAAGAAGTGAAATTTACAGCAAAATCAAATCTTCTAAATAGAGTTACTAGCGCTCTCTCTATCTCTCTCACTGCTCTTTCTTCGATCCGACAATGAAATTGGCGATGCTTACACTTTTAGAGATCTTTTACGGAAAAACTAAAATAATTAATGGTGAACAAATTCAAAAACCAAATATCAAAGTTTCAATGACTATTTTACCTTTAAAAAAAATAAAAAAAAATAAAAAAAACTTTATCAGCGCATGTTTGGCGCGTCTTTCCAAGCTGCAGAGTAGCTTCCCATCCATTTCACGTGGTGATCTTGTTTCCCACTCAAAAATTCGTCTGGGCTCCACTCCATTTTGAGTCACTTACCGATCCTTATCTGTGGGAATTTTTATTAGGCCACGTCCTGACGATTTTCTGACCCATTGGAAGGCTTCGGACATTTATACGATTGCAGGGACAAAATAGAGAACACCATTAGAGATGCTCTCAGTGTCAGTGCTACCAGCATACATGTAGGATGGGGACTGGTCTTGTTCGTCCATAATTAGAAAGTGAGAAGTATCAGATTATGGCACTTTGCATGCAGGATGGGGACTGGTCTTGATCGTCCATAATTTAAAAGCTCCACACAAGCTTTAGTGGTTAGAAATTTAGCATCAATCGTACGCGAATCAACTTAAAGAGTCTTTTTGTAATTGCCTCTGAAATAGCTACACGTATTAAGTCATGTGAGAATGCACGAATCACCTTAGGCTGGGTGTTATAAAAAATTATTTTTTTGGAAGGGTTAGACAATCTCTAACAATCTCGATGAATGAGATTTTTTGGCTACTTTAACAAAACAATGCAGAAAAAATAGCTAGCTAAATTTAGCAAGAGGAGAATATGGACTTAACTGGATTGTTAAGTTTAGGGATAATGTTAGGCAAATTAACTTTTTAATTTGTAAAATATGTGATATGTCACCAATAGAAAATAAGCAAGTTAATTAACATTTAAATAATAATCTAATAATTAACAACCATGTCATATAATTTATAAAATTTGATCTAAATAGATGGTCACCCTAGCATTACCCCAAGATTTAGAAATATTTTACCATAAGCTAAAATAGCTAATATTATTGGAAGTGGTGACTAGCCAAATTAACATTTGAGTCATTTAATTAGCTACAATAACAAAAATTTAACTAGCATTATTGGAAATACTTTTAGAAGTGCTATTCTAACAACCAAAAAGGCGTTTTGTTCGCTATTATAAATAATTGCTCTCTAAAATTTTTTACAAGTGAAGCAGAGTTCAGAGAGAGAGAGAGAGATAATGGAGATCAGACGGCATGATGAAGAAGAAGTGTACGAGGCATCACGGACTGGGAGTGTAGTGCACTTAAACAGATTGATCGAAAAGGACCCAGACATTCTAAGGAGAGTATCCCTGCAGACCGGAAAAACCCCCTTGCATGTATCGGCTTTGCTCGGACACGCTGAGTTTACCAAAGCCCTTTGCACTAACAATCCCAAACTTGCAGAGCGGGTGGACGCCGATGGACGCACGCCCCTCCACTTGGCTTCTGCTGAGGGCCACAAGGAGACCGTCGAAGCTTTGTTACCTGTGTATGTTGATGCGTGCTTGCGTTATGATGAAAAGGGAAGAATCCCTCTTCACTATGCAGCCATGAATGGAGAAGTTGAGGTGCTTCAGAAGTTAATTGATAAAAATCCTGAGTCCATTTATGTCAAAGTTGAAAACAAATCTAAAGAAACAGTTTTGCACTTGTGTATCATACACAAGAAGTTAGAGTGCTTGAAACTGTTGGTTGAAAGAGTCGACAACAATGGTGAGTTCCTCAACTCAAGAGCTGGCTGTGATGGTGGTGTGACCATCCTGCACTTAGCTTTGATGCTAAGGCAAATTAAGGTACGTATATATATTTCCATTTTCTATACTGGATATTCTTAGTTTTTCACTATATTAATTAATATATGTTCATGTGTAAATTTTTTTTTTTTGTTTCTTCCTCTTTATACATAGTTTATGGGATTAATCTCAGTTTACTAAGTAGTTTTTTTGTTTTCAACATTTGATACATTAAGTTTTTTTCGTCCTAATTTGAGTCATAATTAATTCTGAGATATTTTCATACATCTTTTAAGTTTTATGTTAAAACATCCGTTAACTGGTAACGTGTCATTCAAGTAGATAATGATTGAACGTCACGTGTCAATATGAGCCCACGTTGATATTACTATCTCCCTCCCTTCGACTGCACATGGGCGGCGGTGGAATGAATCTACTCCCTTTTTGTGCTGCATACGGGTTTCCCTTCCCCAGATCTGCAACCCACTCCCTTCCCTTACCTCCCGTGTTTCCCGTGTCGATAGCTTGGTCCTCTGCACATCCAGATCCCCCACAAAAGGCCAACGTTGATCAGTTAGGCCTGGAATCTGCCGTGGTGGTCGTCGGAGACCTTCATGGTCAGCTGCACAGACCTCCTTTTTCCTTTAAATGATCTTTAGGTTTTTAGGATTTTATTTTTTTAATTTTTTTAATTTCTTAATTTTTAGTTTTTAATTTTTTTAATATTCATGTGAGCCCATATTGACACGTAGCACTTAGTCATTGTCTATGCGGGTGCTACGTCATCAGTTAATGGAGGTTCTGATGAAAAATTTAACGGATGTATGAAAGTCTCCTAGAATTAATTATAACTTTAAGTACCAAACTGGTACGAAAAAAACTTGATGTATCAAGTGTTAAAAACCAAGAAACTTCATAATAGTAAACTGAGATTAACCTTGATTTATGTGTGCGCTTTCTCTTGTTTCTTCCCCTAGGAGCATAATTTCCACTATGTTAATAGTGTGTATATTATTTACAGACGATACGTTACCTGCTTTCCGTTGATGCTATAAGAGCAGAAGCAATTGGTGTGAATGGGATGTCTCTGACCATGTTAGATATCTTAGAGTACAGTAGCGTTGCAAGAGAGGACTTTAGCAGAAGCTTAGAAATTCAACAGATTTTGATGGACGCAGGATTAATCAGAAGACAAAGTAATGAAAATGATAATCCTAACTCAGCTGTTGCCGCTGCTGCTGTTGTTGTATCGCCAAGTCCAAGAACGGTAAAGAAGAAAAAGAAGGGATCAAAGCCACCAGGGTGGTTCTGGAGAAAATTGATGATATGGTTAGGGTATCCGCATGAATGGGTGAAGGAGACACGTGGCTCTCTGATGGTTGTGGCTACGGTGATCTCGACCATGACTTTTCAAGACGTAGTCAACCCAGCTGGTCGTCTTTGGGTTGATAGTCTTGCAAAAACTTCTAGAACAGTTTGGAGGGAAAATAATGATACAGTCACTACCTTAGGCCAAGGTAAGGATCCCATGGATTACTTCCCCAGTTTCATAGCATACAACACCGTCTCGTTCCTAGCTTCTTTGACTGTCACCCTTTTGCTCATTAGTCGATTTCCTCTCCACGATCGGTTGTCCACGTGGCTCTTATCGATGTCCGTATGCGTCACTCTCGCATTCTTGGCACTCACCTACCTAAAGGTGCTGTCCATGATCGGCCCTAATTACGGTATTCAGGAACCATGGAGCTTGTCAGCAATATTCATAATTCTTTGGATTGTGTTGCTGGTCATAGGCGGTGTACTTCACACTCTCAGGCTTCTTATTTGGGTGATGAAGTGGTTGCAGCCCATGTACTTCAAGTCAACATCAGGTCTCAAGAACATGATCACTACTGGCTCCTTTTCACACAAAGATCCAACGCATTTTGACGAGAATGATGCGCCTGCAGTTGTGTGATTAATCTGCCGCGGTGTGTGTGCTTGAAAAAATCATTAACTAGGTCATACACCCTATATGTATGTAGCGATTAGGGTTTAGGGTAATGAACTAGCTCAATGACGCTTTCTGGATCCGGGTTGGTAATTCAAGAGTGTTGCTTAGTTATGATAAGTAATCCATCTGCTATGCAAATTAGAAGTGTTTGTTGTCTTTGATGCTGGACGGTAGCTACTTTTTTTATTAGTATTCAATTATGTCATATGTTATCACATTAGCAAACTAACAACTGTTCTCATTCTCTCTGCTAGTAGTTTGTTACTAGTTAATGCAGTATAAATGGCTTTCTCAAACAAACAAAAAATACAGTATAAATAGCTAAACATATAGTCTCATGATTGTTTGGAAGTGCTTTTAAAATGATTAAAAACGCTTTTAGAGAAAAATTTGTGAGTTCAAAAGTATTTGAAGTGCTTCATGTGTTTCTTCCAGGAAGCACTTCATGTGCTTTTCCAAATTCACTTGCGTTTTTACTAAGAATTAGTTCCTAAAACATTCACAAAAAACGCTTTCAGCCATTTTAAAAGCACTTCCAAATAAGTGCTTTCACAAATATTCACTTCTCTTGAATGGCCACTGAAATTCCAAGAGATCACCTAAAAAATTTCATAACATATCACATTGATTACATAATAACATGTATACTTACTCATTAGATTGTTCATTAAACAACTTCCTACTACTTAATTAAGAAAATCGATAATATCATCAACGGAAACTACAAGCCCTAACTTGGTCTTGCTCCTTAGCCAAGTAATAGTACTTCTAGTTCTAGTTTCTCTACGTAGTACACACTGGTAGAAGAATTTGGGGCCATGTTGAACTTGAGGATGACTTGAGGCCGGCCCGTAGTGAAAGAGCTGAGCCTTTGGTCTCAGTGTCTTTATGCCTTATATCATGAATAACCACATCACACAGTTTATAAAATATGATTTAAATATATAGTTTTTATAGCATTACCCATTATTTTGTAGGGTATATGTCCTTATTTTCCTTATATTATTTTCTTTAAAATAGCCATTCATAAGTACCATCATATAATAAATTCATAACCATACAAACTTCATTTTTCTTGCATTGTTGAGATGTTTCTAATGCCTTGAATCTTGCAGATTCATCTTTTCCAGCGTCAAGCAATCAGTCATTGCTTCAACAACAAAGTACATTTGAGCTACATCATCTTTCCGACCAAAACTAAACTACATTCATCAGTTTCTTTTTGTTTTTATACGTGGTTTGAGCAAAAGAATAGTGATTCGTATTCTAAGTAAAAGTTGTGACCGTACATCATGTTTGTCTTGAAGGACAGACGTGATATGGCCTAGGGGACAATAATGGTGGAATATGCAATGTAGATATAGGTGAAGCCACCAGTCTAAATTGCTCGAGAGTAGAGGAAATATGTTCAAGATCAAATCACATTGAGCTGAGGACAAGAGCTAAAACGCAACTTGAAATTTCGACTAAACTTCGCTTTTGGAGGACACTACTCGAATCAACCAAGGGCTGGTTTGGTATTTCTGTGCTTTGAAAAAAAATTATTTCTGCTGTGCTATGAGAATAAGCAGCTATGAAATAAAGCAGCAGAGTGTTTGGTAAATTTTTTTGTAAAAGTGCTTTTGAAAGGGAAAAAAAAAAAAAAGCAGTATTATAGTGTTTGATAAACTTTTATGTAAAACAGGTGTGAAAAAAAGTTGGGTTTTGCAGCTTTGGTTTTTGGCTTTTTTTCACCCAAAACTGTGAAAAAAAAGCTGAAGCTGAATGTTTACCAAACAAAAAAAAGCTCCCAACTTTTTTTGATAGTCACTCTTTTCAGAACCACCTCAGTACCAAACTAGGACTAACAAGACATTCATACTCACCTTCCAAAATTAGAATCTTAACATATATAAAATAACTCATTAAAATCACTTAAAGTAAAAGTAATACACACATGTTAAACTATATATAACTTGTCTCTGAATATAAATAACTTCTTACAAGTAACAATTTCTATGTTAATTTCAATAACTTAGGTTAAAAAGTCGGTTGCAGCCTTGCAGGCTAATTGTTCACAAAAAAGTGGTACATGAAAGTAACATGGTAAGGTAAGGTCCCCCATTGCACAGTGTTAGATTCTAAGCAACCACTAAGGTTAGCCAATTGCTAACGACATGCAGGTAGTCTCTGTGTTGTCGGTTTGAGTCTCCTTTCTTCTCTCTCTCTCTCTCTCTCTCTCTCTCTCTCTCTCTCGCTGTGGTTAGGTGAAGGGGACAACACAAGCTCATGACATGGTGAATTAGGTCATGAAAATCCAACATTAATCCCACCAAAATTGGGATGCAAGTCCAAAAGGTTAACAACTACTGAGCAGTACGATTTAGCCACTAAAAGTATGAGAGAGGGACATGCAGTCGGTAATCAACTTTTAAGCATCCCATAACTTCGCACTCATCAAGATCTTATGATTCTTCACTTTCTTGATGTTTTGCTTTTGGCTTCAGAAGATCACATGGAAAAGTAATGGTCCCCTCTCTTTGTACATTCCTCTCTGCAATTATGACGGTTGGAGATCTGGTGCCATCATCCTCTACATTGGGGAAGAGACTCGTATGAAATGAGGACACTAAGATATTGATGTTTCAAATTCGTCACATAATAGTTTATTTCATATAAGTCATTCTTCATTGCTGATTTAAACGATTTAGATTAAAGAATCCCACAAAGAAATGTAGCAATGCATTGAAATTATGTTCTATGGGTCACTTGATAACTAAGGATTTAAGGTCATCCACCCTTAAATTTGATATTAAGGGTTGAGATTAAAACATTAAACGCACATTCATTTATTATCCACCATGAATAACCCAAGGATAAGTAACCATACATTCTTTTTAATCATCTGAGGACCTATTCAACATTTCTGCAATAAGTGATGCCATGGAGATCATATTTTGCAGACAATATCTAAAGTCCACAATACAAGTAAGTCTACCTCTACTCGAGAAATGATTTTGATGTGTTCTACAAAATATAGTTTTCTTAGCATTTTCCTTCTAGACTACACCAATGCTCAGTAGAATCTTTACTCTATAGAGAGTTAGGTAGGGGGCAACCAAAATGGAACCCACCAAGACTTGTTTGATTTGATCACTTTTATCTACTAAAAAAGCCACATTCAACTGCAAATCCCATTGACTCACTTATCATGTAGAGTGGCCTTCATAACTCATAAATCATCACTAAAACTTTGATGAAAAAAATGATGAACTTCATGATTGCCAATTGATGAATATATAGCAGAAAACATCTTCAACTTTCCTCACATAAAGACAGTTAAAGAGAGAAAAAAATAAGACAAAATAAAAAGGTGTCAAATTAGGGTTTAGATTAAACATTGTTTGTGAGACATATGGGAAGCAAATTAAAGGTGTTTTTGCAGAGGGATTAATGGAGGTGAGGAGAGATAAGAGTGCATGAACAGAGAGGTAAAGAATGGCCAGTCCAACTTCAACTACCAGGCTCAGGGGTTCCTTGGAGTAGCTTTAAAGTCTCTCTCTCTCTCTCTCTCTCTCTCTCTCTCTGTGTGTGCAATACCTTCATTGCACACCACCTATTCTGCTATACCCACCCAAAGAACTATTCTTTTTCCTTTTCTTTTCCAAAGAAATGAACAAAAAGAAGAGGATTTATAAACAGAAAGTTAGATTGCTGCTTTGATGATTTTTGGGTTGAGAGAGAGAGAAAAATGGGATACATTTTCTCTCAGATTCTCCACCTCATGATTTTTTTCGTCATATCTTTTCTCCTATCATTACACAATGCAGAGGAGGGCTACTTGAATGTTCATGGCCTACAACACCACCTGCATTTCATGGAGGACAATGCCGAGGCTCCCCAAAACCTACAAATTCACAAAGGTTCCGGGGAAGATGAAGAGAAAGCAGTTTCAGTTGTCGAAAATTTCAGAGCTTTACTTGGTTTGAACAGCTTCCACAAGCGAACGCCGTCGGTTGGCGACAGTAGAAACGTTTCTCCTTCTCCTTCTCCAATTCCATACAGCGAGGAGGAGGCTCCTAGTCCAGCTCCTGCTCCTGCTCCGGCGCCTCACATCCACGCGGGTTCGCATCATCTGCATCGCTTGCGTTCGATCCCAAAGCCTCAAAACATTCACAGAGAAGATAGAGGGGGAATCACGAGGATACTTGTGGCGGTTCTTGCTTCCACAGGTGCTGCAGTTGTTATCTGTGTGTTCGGAATTATTTGGGGTTGCAGGAAGCACAGAAAGCATAAGAAGAAACCCACGAGAGTGATTTCAGTTGTCGGCAAAAAGGGAGGAGCTAAATCAGCAAGCAAGGTGAGGTTAAATCCTGCCACTAATACTTCTGATCTCATTTATCTTGAATCGTTAGGCTTGGACTTAGAGCAGCAACATCAGCAGATTTCTTGTTCCAAAGAAACTTGTGAAACTGTAACTTCTTCACGAAATCATACATTGCTTGAGAGGGAAGAAACAAATCAAGAAGTGATAAAATCGGAATTCAGTGATGCTAGTTGCAGTTCTTCCACTAGGGAAATTGTGTCTATTCATGAGGATATGATTGCAGAGTCAGTGAAATATGACTCTGATTGTGCTAATTCCGCAACCGGTGACAAAATTACTCTCGTTAATTCGTATTCTTCCGATGATGAATCTTTCCATTCTTTCGGAGATTCGAATTCATCAAATGTCCGCCCTTCGAATGCTTCAGCTGGTAGCCTAGATGAGTCATCAGACATTCTCTCCACAAATGTGTCAAATATAGAACCATATCAACCAACAACCCTAAACCAAAAATCAATTCGGGCTCTTGAATTGCAGTCTCCGAGAAATGGAGAGCGCGAAATTCTGAATGCACCGCGATCTTCCAATTGTGAAAAGAATGTCACAATCCCTCCAGCACCACCTCCTCCACCCCCACCACCAATCAAACACTTTCCTGATTTCCATTCTTCTCCTAGTTCAGCTAGAATTGGGTCTAAAGCTTTGTGCTCTTCTTCTACATTGCGAAATCTATCACCGCCAAGAAAATCAGATTCTTCTTCTGGATCAAACCAGACCCCAGAAGGTCAACTTTCTATTTCACGTCAAAACTCCTCTAGACCTTCAGAAACTCCACCTCCTGTTCCTCCACCACCCAGCCCACCTCCCTTTTTGAAAGCGAATAATGGCTTTTCAAAAGGTCCACCTCCTCCACCCCTCCCTCAAGCTACGCCATTGGGAAGAGATGGAACTCCGTTGCCTAAACTGAAGCCGTTACATTGGGACAAAGTCAGAGCTGCACCGGATAATTCCATGGTGTGGGACAAGCTGAGATCAAGCTCATTTGAGTAAGTTACTTATGTTTTCAGATGTGATTTCGGTTTCTCTTTTTTTTTTTTTTTTTCTGTTTAAAACTGTACTAATCATGAACAGGCTGGACGAGGAAATGATTGAATCGCTGTTCGGATACAATCTACAAAGCTCAATGAAGAATGATGAAGCAAAATGCAAGAGCCCTTCTCCAAGCAAGCATGTTCTTGAGCCAAAGCGACTACAGAACATAACCATACTCTCAAAAGCCCTGAATTCTACTGCTGAGCAAGTATGCGAAGCACTAGTACAAGGTATATATGAAACTCCTTAAATGTATAACTTGTATACTTTTAGAAAGACATGACATCCTGCAGAAAGTGGGATTAGTACTCTAACCAACGAAAACCTAACAAGATTAATACATTAACAGGAAATGGCTTGTGTTTGCAACAATTGGAAGCACTTGTAAGGATGGAACCCACCAAGGAAGAAGAGGCTAAACTCACCAGCTACAAAGGAGACATCAACGAACTAGGGTCTGCAGAGAGGTTTGTGAAGGCGTTGCTTAAAGTGCCTTGCGCCTTCCAACGAGTTGAAGCAATGCTTTACAGAGAAACATTTGAAGATGAGGTGGTTCATCTCAGGAACTCCTTTTCAGTGCTAGAGGTAGGGCATGTTCAGGAATGCTTATACATGAAGCACTTCTGTTTACAAGCGTTTCTGCCAGATGTGTTTTTATCATACATCAAGAAGCATATTTGAAACGAAATTCTAATCTCGTTCTTTTTGTAAAAATTATGGTTTAATTTGTACTGCAGGAGGCCTGCAAGGAACTGCGATCAAGCAGGCTCTTCTTGAAGCTACTTGAAGCCGTGTTGAAAACAGGAAATCGAATGAATGTAGGAACAATCCGAGGAGGAGCTAAAGCATTCAAGCTAGACACACTGCTCAAGCTCTCCGACATAAAAGGAACCGATGGAAAAACCACCTTGCTACATTTTGTTGTGCAAGAAATTATTAGGACAGAAGGGATTCGAGTTTCGGATAGCATCATGGGGAGGATCAGCCAGAAGAACAAAACCAAAACCGTAGAAGAAAAAGAAGAAGACTACAGAAGAATGGGGCTTGACCTAGTTTCCGGCCTCAGCACCGAGCTCTACAACGCGAAGAAAACAGCCACATTGGACTTGGATGTTCTTGCAAGCAGTGTTTCAAATCTCTCAGATGGAATGGATAAAATCAAACATCTGGTGCACAAGGATTTGTGCGTGGATGAGAAGAGTGGTAATTTGGTCGATTCGATGAAATCGTTTATATGTTATGCAGAGAAGGGTTTGAGAGAGTTGCAGGGTGATGAGAGTAGGGTTTTGTCACAGGTGAAGGAGATTACAGAGTATTTTCATGGAAATGTGAGCAAGGAAGAAGCTAATCCGCTTCGGATTTTCGTGATTGTTAGGGACTTTTTGGGAATGTTGGATCATGTTTGTAAAGAGCTTAGAACCTCAAAAGCTTCACGCACTCCAAATCCTCTTGCTCCATTCAAATAGGCTGTAGACTTTATGAGGTTGTTTTGGTGTGTTTATATGATGGATTTTCATTCACTAAGCAAGAATGTATAACCTGGTTTTGAATTTTGTACGTAGGGTTTTGACCTTTTTAGGCTGTGCTGGGTTGAATTTCATGGACTTGGTCTCTCCAGATCCATGTATCCTAATCCACCAAATCCATGTATCCGAACCGTTGAAATTTGATCCAACTGCTACAATTAGGGGCCCACTTTAAAAGTTATAATAACTTTAGCTGTTGGATCAAATTTCAACGGCCCGGATACGTGACTTTGGTGGATTAGAATACATGGATCTGTAGAGGACCCATGTCCGAATTTCATTACCTAATTAAAAATGTGTCAATTCATAATGTCATATCTAGGGATGGTCGTAGGTCGAGTGGGGTCCATTTTTAGTGGATGTGGACTTGACTTTTTTGTTTGTAAACGAGTTCGAGCCCGTCCAAGCCAATGTATTTTTATTAGTGGAATCGGCTCACTTTGAATCCATTTGATATGATCCGGTTCCTATGGGTCAAATAGATATGTTTTTAGTCATATGTAGTATAACAAAACAACGATAAAAAACAATATCTAGATGTTTCCGTTATGAAAGAATTACGTCTAACAAAGTCAATACCACAAAATGTTCTAAAACAAGTTCGATTGTTGTTGTACTTCTTAGGGTTTGATAGATATGTAATTGGATCATGGGCTTCATTGTGGACCATTAATAAAATGACAAGTGCTAAAACAACTCTTAAACGATCCTGGCCAGGTTACCTGCACATGAGAAATATAGACTCAGTTTTACAAAAGTTGGGTCCAACTCAGACCGTTTTGAAAATTAAAAATAAGGACCGAATGGTTTTACATCGGTTCAGGTAACACGGGTCCTAAGACCCATATGCCCATCCTTGGTCAAATCTACTCTACTTTATGGTGTGTGTCATATTGACACGTTTTAAAAAATTAGAGAAGTTCATAATGAAATAAAAAGCCAAACTGAAAAATTAAAAGAAAATCTTCGGTAACGCCACTAAAACTAACGCTTGGTCAAGTGAATCTCTCCTTCGTTCGGCTTCCACATGGTCTCATTTTGGTAGACCCGAATGCTGGGGTCCCATGTGTCTTGAGAAGACGGATTACTCGGACGACTGCCGGCAACCCGTCATGTTGGATGGGCTTGGCCGCGAGGTCATATTGATAATGGGCCAAAACAAAGCAACTGTGGGTCCAGAACAGCCCAGACTCCGAAACAAAGAGTCAAATTACCATCTCACCCTCGTTCGTTTATTGAATACCCGATCTACCCTCCGACCGCCACGAATTCCCGCGCGCCTTTTTCCCCTTCTTCACAATTCAAGAAGCATCCGGATTCCAACAGACTCCACGCGGCAAACGCATACGGGCTTTGACATCATGTCCCAGTAAGTAGCCAACAACGAGCACTGACGCAAAATTGCCGACGTGGCGCATCGCCATTGGACGGAAATACCAACGAACAAACATTAACCGAACGGAGCCAAACAGTATATAAATAACCCCCTCACCCTCCGCTGCTTCACTCAGAAATCAAATTCACAAGCTCACAAAAATCTCAACAAAAAAGGAGAAGATTTACAGAAAAAGCTCAAATTACAGAGGAACTTCGAGAAGTAAATCAATGGAGGTGAAGAGGATCCATGCATTGTCGTTCGCGTTTCTGCTTCTCTTTGTTTCAGGTACCAATTCATCAAATATAGTCCGACTACGGAACGAATGTCTGTTTGTTATTAAATCGCGAATACTAATACACGAACGTTAATTCTGTCACCGAAAATGTGTCACATATTATTGTCGTCACCGATAATGCGTCACATGTGATTGATTTCAAAGTCTTGATCAATATATGCTCGATTCTAAGAATATACGTACGGAAATTTTTAGTTCATTTATTTTATCAATAATTTTTTACCTTGAGTATGAACTTTTGATTTTTTTTTATTCATATAATTTGCTGAAGAATTTGGTGTTTCTAATTTTTGTTTTGGGTAGAATTCCTGTGTGGAATAGCAGTAGCAGCCGAAGATTCACCGAAGGTGGGGACGGTGATAGGAATCGATCTCGGAACAACGTATTCTTGTGTGGCAGTTTATAAGAACGGTCATGTGGAAATCATAGCGAACGATCAAGGCAACAGAATCACACCCTCCTGGGTCGCATTCACTGATACGGAGCGTTTGATCGGAGAGGCGGCGAAGAACCAAGCCCCTCTCAACGCAGAACGCACGATTTTCGACGTCAAGCGACTCATTGGGAGAAAGTAAGCAAATTTACTTAGTAATTTGGCTGCAAGAGACTGGTTTTTTTTTTTTTTTGTGTTTTTAATTTGGATTATCAACTTTTAAATGGGGAAAGTAAGCAAATTTTTTACTTGCTAAATTGGATTAATTGGAAGGGTGTGGTTTATCTGTGTGTTTAATTTGGATTATGAAATTAAATGGCATGGAAAAAATTGAGAAACTTTACTTCAATGTTGGATTGGAAGGAGTTGGCTTATCCGTGTGTTTAATTTTGATTATCAAATTAAATGGGAAATTTAAGAAAATTTACATTATAATTGGATTGGAAGGACTGTGGAATTGGGGATTTCCCGTGTGTTTAGTTTGGATCATGAACTTAATCGGGTTTTGTTCGATTTGGTGTTTTGATCTGTAGGTTTGATGATCCAGAGGTGCAGAGAGATATTAAGTATTTGCCCTATAAGGTTGTGAACAAAGATGGGAAGCCTTACATTCAGGTGAAGGTTAAAGGTGAAACCAAGGTTTTTAGCCCTGAGGAAATCAGTGCTATGATTTTGGGAAAGATGAAGGAAACCGCCGAGGCCTATCTCGGGAAGAAGATCAAAGACGCCGTGGTAACCGTTCCAGGTAATGCTTGAAAATCTCTTTTACAAATCTTATATAGCCTTGTGGATGGTTGTTAGATAATACAATGAGAAAACCTAGCGTTCATGTTATTGTGTTCATTGGTCTGATGGGTTTGGTTTGATTGGTTCTTGTAGCGTATTTCAATGATGCGCAGAGGCAGGCTACCAAGGATGCAGGCATCATTGCCGGGCTCAATGTGGCTCGGATAATCAATGAGCCCACGGCCGCAGCCATTGCCTATGGTCTAGACAAGAAAGGAGAGAAGAACATACTGGTTTATGATCTTGGTGGTGGTACATTTGATGTTAGCATCTTGACCATTGACAATGGCGTGTTTGAGGTGAGGTCTACGAGTGGAGACACTCACTTAGGAGGAGAGGACTTCGACCATAGAGTGATGGACTACTTCATCAAGTTGATCAAGAAGAAATATAACAAAGATATTAGCAAGGACAACAAAGCTCTCGGGAAACTTCGAAAGGAATGTGAGAGAGCTAAGAGAGCGTTGAGTAGCCAGCATCAGGTTCGAGTGGAAATTGAATCTCTTTTTGATGGCATTGATTTTTCGGAGCCATTGACAAGGGCTAGATTCGAGGAGTTGAATATGGACTTGTTCAAGAAAACCATGGGGCCGGTGAAAAAGGCTATGGAAGATGCAGGCTTGAAGAAGAAAGATATTCAGGAGATTGTCCTGGTTGGAGGGAGTACCCGAATTCCTAAGGTGCAACAGATGTTGAAGGACTACTTCGATGGGAAAGAGCCAAGCAAGGGGATCAATCCTGATGAGGCTGTTGCATATGGTGCTGCAGTTCAAGGTGGAGTTCTCAGTGGTGAAGGCGGAGAAGAAACCAAAGGTAATCATATAGTGAGAGCACTTATTTTGAATTTAGTTTGCTGATCTCAACATAATTTGCAACGGACTAAAATTTGTTTTTCCGCAGATCTTCTTTTGCTTGATGTCGCTCCATTGAGTCTTGGTATCGAAACAGTTGGTGGCGTCATGACAAAATTGATTCCAAGGAACACTGTCATCCCGACGAAGAAGTCTCAAGTCTTCACCACTTATCAGGACCAGCAAACCACAGTAACCATCAAGGTGTGTTTAACAGATAAATACAGAGACTAGTTAGATGGGAATTTTGATATTTTGCATAGCGTGTGCTTTTCTAGTACTTTAACTAGTGTATGTGTTTGAAATTAATCAGGTGTACGAAGGTGAAAGAAGCTTGACAAAGGATTGTCGTGAGCTTGGAAAGTTTGATCTCACCGGCATTCCACCTGCTCCAAGGTAGTTAATTGTTTAGGGTAAATTTGGTCTGATCTAACATTTGCAAAGACGAATTGTGTCCTGAAAGCTGCATGGTTTAACTTTTTTGTTGCAGGGGAGTGCCCCAAATCGAGGTGACATTTGAGGTCGATGCAAATGGCATCCTACATGTGAGGGCAGAGGACAAGGCCGCGAAGAAGTCTCAATCCATAACGATCACCAATGACAAGGGGCGTCTAAGCCAGGAAGAAATAGAGAGAATGGTGAAGGAGGCTGAGGAGTTTGCCGAGGAGGATAACAAAGTGAGGGAAAAAATAGATGCCAGGAACAAACTTGAGACCTACATTTACAGCATGAAGAGCACTGTCAATGACAAGGACAAGCTGGCGGATAAGATTGATTCGGATGACAAGGAGAAGATCGAAAGCACGCTGAAGGAGGCGCTCGAGTGGCTGGATGACAACCAAAACGCCGATAAGGATGATTTCGACGAGAAGCTGAAGGAGGTGGAGGCAGTGTGCAATCCGGTGATAAAGCAAGTGTATGAGAAGAGCGGTGGAAGTTCTGGTGGTTCACAGGATGAGGAAGAACCAAATGATGAGCTGTAGAAACTATGAAACGCCGAATGTTTGAGAGTGTCATTGTCTTTTTTCTTCTCCTTTTCTTTTTTGGCGGGTGTTAGAGCTTAAAATGTAGCATGATTGATAGTGTCTATATAATTGTATGTGTATTTGAACATTAATTTCGAACTTTTAATTCCGAATGAAAATTAAGAGGTTTTTTGGTTTCTAGTTTCGTTGTTCAAGGATAAACACCAGAAAACATAACAACTCGTGCAATGGTTAAATCAAGAGAACTGTGGCCCTCAAGAAAATTAACGCAAGACCACAATTTAACAAGTAATGAGTGAGAGGCAATGGATCGTGTTCGAGTTTACCTAGCTATATTTGTATAATTTTCGTTTTAATTCACAAGTTGATCAGTACATTGAACAATATTACAAATAATGACTTATAAACTAATTTATCTTTAGCAGTCGTTATTTAATTTATTTTATCCATTGAAACTTATTTTATCTCTCTTTGTTATGTGAAGCTATTATTTTTATATTTTTATTTATTTATGGAGTGTTTTCGCACCAACAAGATCCTTTCCGGATCCTTTTGGTGAGGATCTTGGAGATCCGTAAATTGTGGGGTTAGTTTTTGTCAAGTACTATTTTTATTTAATTTTAAATAAAAATTTAAAACGAATTTTTACTGCACGATGTACGATAAACGGATGTAATTCACGGATCTTCGAGATCCTCACAAAGAGGATCCAACAAGGTTTTGGATTTGTTTTCGCATATTTTGGTATGATAGATTGTACGAAATATTCTTAAATAATGGAGAAATTTTGGTGCATAAGTTTGATTGGACGTTGCATGGTGGAGCAAAAGTAGAGGATTTAGACATGACTGAGGTTTAACCAGACACCTTAGTTAAGGTCATCTCCAACCAAAGGCTGGCCAGATGGCTCGTTTTGGCCCTCTGGTTCTCCAAGAAATTAATATTTTAATAAACAGTGTAGGGTCATATTCCTTACCATGTCCAACCGAGGGCCAAAAGGCCATAGGGCTCGTTTTAGCCCTGTCACAAAAAAACCGTCTCCAACCGAGGACCAAAGGGCTATAGTATGGAATGTGAATAATTGAAATAAAATGAGGTAAGAATGGAAAAAATGTGAAAAATGGTGTAGGAAAAAAATTAGAAATTAAAAAAAAAAGCGTCCGAAAAAAAATGATGTTGGGCATAAAAACAAAAAGTGGGCAGGGACCATAAAAATAAAAATAAAAAAGTAAGCCCTAAACCCTAAAGTGGGATGGGCAATGGAAAAGAACAAAAAAAAAAATTGAAATTGGGCTAGCCAGCGGGCTGGTTGAAAGTGACCAGCGAGTTGGCCCTTTTAGATTATGTGGGGCCCACGAGCCCTCTGACCTAGCCCTCGGTTGAAGACGTTTTTCGAGCTTTTGGCTCTCTGGACTCTTCAGTTGGAGATGGCATAAGTACCCTCTCGAGACCATTGTCATCCCTTCCATCTTTTGTTCTTTAATTATTAATTTATTACACACAATTATGATTGGTATACATGAGAGATTCTCTCCATGAGCTCTTGCCTGCTCGAGAAACCGAGATATTGATAACATAGTTGAAAAAACATCTATGTTCTTAGGTGTACTAGGTGATTTGTACGTCATAAATTTAAGGGAACTATAACGAAAAGCTCCCGGTATTTTTCACTTTAACGAAAAACCATATTTTTACACTAAAAATTCAATCATGGTACTATTCACTTTACCATTTATTTTGTTCTTATCGTTAAAACTCAAAGTTTTCAAGCCCTTTTCAGTAGTTTTTCTTAAATTTCATTAGCACAGTTTTTATAGAGGTTATGTATAAACTGGAGAACTTTAAAAACAACAAGCGCATCTGGTGTAGTGGTATCATAGTACCCTCCCACGGTACTGACCAGGGTTCGATTCCCTGGATGCGCACCAGTGTTTTACATTTTTTACCTTTTTCACATATTCATTGCCACTTAGTACTACGGTTTAATAGTATTCTCTTTTACTTGTAAATTAGGCGTTTTGGACAGATCAAATATAAAATAACAACCAGTAGAAGCGGAACTTTTAGAGAAAAATTATGTCGAGATTTTCAGTGCATTTCAAAGAATAAAAAGGCTTCGCATAATTTCAAAGATAGTGTCACACATTATTTGTCATAATTCCGATAAATATTGAAAAATCACTAAATTTGGATGAATTTTGAGTTAAATAATTTTTTTTAATTATTTTAGGAGTTAGATTTAAATTTGGGCTGTTAGATTTTTTTTTTATACCATTTGATTTGATCATATTAGATATTAGTTGTTGGATTCAATGAAATTATAAGTATATAAAAAAAAAACAAATATAAACATGGATCGTTGATCCATTTGAATTGTGGTCGTTGGATCAGAAATAAAAGTTGTTGGGCTCATTGTTACAGCCGACAAGAAGGGGACATGCCCACGTGAGTGGGGTTTGGCTACTGTTGGACTAGCGCGTCCGAGCGTGGGTCTTGGGCAATTGGGCTTCACATCCCGTTTTCCACTCTCACATGTGGGCTCCACCACTAACTTTGGCCTAAATCTAACCTTTTTTTTAGTTTTAAAACTTAACTCCATTTTAGAACAAGCATTGGAATGAATTTTGGGGGGGAGGGGGGGGGGGAGAGGGAATAGAAGGAAAATTTTATAACTGACTCCAAGGATTGGAGTTAGTCTAATAACCTCAGGCTAAAAAATTTAGGGCATAAGATATGTGGCAGAAAAACTGTTTCTGAGTTAAAACCTAAATTTTATGGGCTTAAAATTTTAGGTTTTACTCTAAAGGTTGGAGATGGTCTTAAGGTAAAAAAATCTTTAATTATGTTCCTTCTTTCTTCCATTGTTCTCATATCTCCTCTTCAATTATTTAGAAATCCAACTCCATGGATTTCAGTCGTGTAATTTTCCCCCTAATAGGCTTCTCTTCCTCACTCTTCTTCTTCTTCGTGCTGAATGCAACGAGTTTTGCACATTAACTAGCGAACTCAATGGGGAAAAATATAAATTTGGGACATTATTTACTTTTATTTTCGCCTAAATAGCCAAAATGGTCCTTGAGATATGCATAACACATCACTTTGGTCCCTGAGATTGTCCACCATCCATCATTTTGGTCATTCCGTTAAAAATTCTTTAGGCAATTTTCAAAGCTTCGTAATTCAATTGTTTCCTAACCAAATTCGACCTATAATATATCAAAATGAAGATAGGAAAGTGTAGAACAATTTTATATCTATTTGGAAGGCCAATGGTTGCCGGAGATAGCCGGAAAATAGCCTCAAAGTTGATTGGTCCGTGAAAAAACTGAAAACTCGCTGGAAACTAGATAAACTTTAAACGTTCATAACTTTTTCAATACTCAACGAAATCGAGTGATTCAATACCAAAAATCATACTTCTCGACGATACGAAGAGAATGGTACCTTTCTTGATGGCTGACTCACAATGGTTTGGCCGGAAAATGGCTCGAAAGTGGCTAACTTGAAAATGGTTAGCCACTTTCGAGCCATTTTCTAGGCAAATTTCAGTGAATTAGCCATCAAGGAAAATACCATTCTCTTCGTCTTGTCGACAATTATGATCTTTGTTTTTTAATCACTTGATTTCGTTAAGTATTGAAGAAGTTATGAACGTTTAAAGTTTACCCAATTTTTGACGAATTTTACAGTTTTTCCACAGACCAGTCAACTTTGAGGCTATTTTTCAGTCATCTCTGGCAACTATTGGCCTTCCAAATAGATATAAAATTGTTCTACACTTTCCTATCTTTATTTTGATATATTATAGGTCGAATTTGGTTAAGAAACGATTGAGTTACGAAGCTTTGAAAATTGCCCAAAGAGTTTTTAACGGAATAACCAAAATGATGGATGGTAGACAATCTCAAGGACCAAAGTGATGCGTTATGCATATATCATGGACCATTTTGGCTATTTAGCCTTTATTTTTTGAACGAGCGAGATGCACCTCATAAAATGTAAGTTTCATATACATTTTACATTTTTCTTTAAAAATAACTAGATGAAACAAACACACTATGCGTGTGCAATTAAGTACCAGCCTAAACCCGTACATTTTGTATGAAACAATTTTTTTTTGGAAAAGCTGGAGCGACTTATATTTTTATCTTTTAAATTAGACATATGTTATGATCATATATGAACGATGAACGTTAAAAAGTTAGCAAAATTTTAATTTATGCGAAATTACATAAATTGTTCATAATTTTTTTCTGTAACATGGACTAAATTGTCATTTAATGAATGACAAAAAAAGTCTCACAGCATTGATCTAAAAGCGTATGCAGTGCTCCAACTAGTCGCCACACCCAAAAGGACATGGATCGCCAGCATGTCATTAACTCACAGCCGTTGATCGTCATAAACATCACAACCATTCCCTTCAATTAAAACTCATCTCATTGGCCGCACCAAATCCGCACGGATTGCCAGCGTGGCATACCCCCATTATAAACACCACGCACCGAATCAGTCCTGACCAAATTCAAATCCAAGAGCGTCGAAACATCCACTTTCCCTCCTAAACGCATCGTTTTCGTTTCCCCAGAAAATTCAGAGAGAATGGAGACCACGAAAGTCACCAAGGGCGCCGGCGGAAGAAGAGGCGGAGAGAGGAAGAAGTCGGTGTCTAAGTCAGTAAAAGCCGGCCTCCAGTTCCCCGTCGGTCGTATCGCACGTTTCCTCAAAAAGGGCCGCTACGCCCAGCGCACCGGTACCGGCGCTCCCATTTACCTCGCCGCAGTCCTCGAATACCTCGCAGCCGAGGTAATTTCACAATCCACATTTTTCAGATCTAAACCTTTTCCGTTTATATATGTGTATGTATATTCAATTTTCGCTAATTAATTTACGGTGCCGGATCGAAATCAGGTGCTGGAGTTGGCGGGAAACGCGGCGCGTGACAACAAGAAGACGCGGATCAACCCGAGGCACGTGCTCCTGGCCGTGAGAAACGACGAGGAGCTTGGAAAGCTCCTCGCCGGAGTGACCATCGCAAGTGGCGGCGTGCTCCCGAACATCAACCCAGTCTTGCTTCCGAAGAAGACCTCCGGCTCCCAGGAAGGCGAGAAGGCGCCCAAATCTCCCAAGGCAGCAAAGTCGCCCAAGAAGGCATAAAATGCATGCCGTTCTTAGAGCTATTAATTAATCTAGCGGGAATATCTACAAAGCCTAGGGGTATTTTGGTCTTTTGGTTAATCTGTGTAACCATGTGTGTAGTTTGTTGTGCAAAAATGCAGTAGGGGTATATCTGGAATTCAATGGAAAAATTCTGGTTTTGTGATTAAAATTCGGTTTCCCATCGTAACTTGGAATTTCATTTTATTTATTTAAACGCAAAATTCCACCAGTGCCCATCAAAATTTATTAAGGAAAAAGAGATGTTTATCTTGATTTATTTGCAAGATAATTGGGTTAATCCGGGAAGAAAATACGGAAATTGGTTCCTAAATGTCTTTTTACCAAAAAACCCTTGGAAGGCACCCATGAACCCTAACTCCTCCAAACCCGCTCACAGTAAATCTGGATGGCTACGTGTCTGTTTTTCAGCCGTTGATCGTATAAAATCACGGATCGCCCAGGTGGCGCATTTCCCTATAAGAACCACCGGCCAAATTCCGCAATTCCGAAATTCAAAATCATAGCGCTGCGAAGCCCTTGAACTTTCCCTCCAAAACGATCGTTTCACTTGTAAACCCGTGAGCGAAGAAATGGTCGCCGCGATCAGCGGAGGCTTCGGTGGCAGGAAAGGCGGAGGGAGGAAGAAGGTGACTAAATCGTCCCGGGCTGGCCTGCAATTTCCGGTGGGTCGGATCGGCCGTTTTCTGAAAGCCGGTCGCTACGCCCAGCGCATCGGCGCCGGGGCTCCGATTTATCTGGCTGCTGTTCTCGAATACCTCGCTGCTGAGGTAGTCTTACATCTAATTTACATTTTTTATCTCAAAAATAAAAATATTTTTAGTCTGGTATGGTTATTGTGTGAAAAATTCTCTTGAAATCGTTCTGTTTCTATTTGGTGTTTGGTTGCTGAGAAAATTCGGGAAACGAAAATGAGAGCTGAGATTTTTGGGTTGGGTGTCGAATCAGGTTCTGGAATTGGCTGGGAATGCGGCACGTGACAACAAGAAGAGTCGAATCACCCCGCGGCACGTGCAATTGGCAGTGAGGAACGACGAGGAGTTGGGAAAGCTTTTGAAAGGAGTGACCATCGCCAGCGGCGGTGTGCTTCCACATATAAACCCCGTTTTGCTTCCGAAGCCGACCTTCAACGGCGGTGATGCCAAAAAGAAGGCTGCCAAGTCTCCCAAACCCGCCAAGATCGTCGCCGATATCTGTTCCGCTCCCGCCGCTGAAATTGCTCCCAACCCGCCTGCGGCGGTTGCCGATTCAGCTTCTGATGTTGCGGAAAATGTCCCCAATTCCCCCAACGCCCCGAGGAGCCCGTCGTCTGATGTTTCTGGTTTATCAACAACTACATGATCATGAATGTCAGTGACTGAGTAGGGAAGTTAGGTAATTTGGTCTGTGTTTTGGATTTTGGTTAATGGGTAATCACTGGTTTAGTGAGTAGTGCTCAAATGGGACTTGTAGAGGGTTGGATATACTCTGGGCAGCCTCCAATGGATTTTTCTTGCTTTTGTGAATGGAAATGGTGATCAAAATGCAACCTTTTTGGTGAAAAGTTGACTTTTCGAAGTGCAAGTGGTTGGACACATTGCCCTGTCAAATTAGCCTACCTCACATATGCAACAAATAACGTTCTTCTAATTTCTCCCTTGTCTTTGAATTTGGCTTCGAGACCCAATTTTCTAAACATGCCAATATGTTTCAATGGTCAATTTGATCTCTTTTTTGTTACTTTCTCCTTGCGAATAGATGAAAATAGAATTCAGATCCTTTTCGGATCTCGCAATCCAGAGCCGATTGATAGTGTAATAGGGTCCGTTCAAGAGATTAGAGAGATTCGAACCCTTAGGTTTTGTAAAGTGAGCTAGTGAGATGAACTAATGGGGGTCGTAAGATTTGAAATGTGTGGTTGGGATTACTTGCTTTGTCGACTCCAAACTGCGAGATGCAGATAAAATCTCGATTCATAAAAATAACCTTTAATGTGATATAAAAAAAGTGACAGTTGTAATGGTAGATGATTGATTGACGTATCTTAAAGGACTCAAGAATAGCGTAGGCAAATCCAAAGGATGTAATTAATTTAAAATCATTGCTCAACTGAAGCGGCGGGAAGAAAAAAATTGTGCATGGGTCAATATTTCAAAAGAAGTAACGTTTTTCTAAAAATTGTTGTAGATGGAGCTTTACCGTAGTAGTGAAAGAAATCATGTTTATGTAAAATAGTGTGGATTCGATTCCTACTAATAACTAACAACTAACAACTAACTAACTAACTAACTATTTAACCCACCGAAGCTTTCGTTCATTTAAAAGAAAAAATGATTTGAAGAGGGGGTAGAGAAGTTTGTTTTCTTGGGCTTCATATGGGAAAAAAACCCATTTAAACTTGATTGTTGGTTTGTAGAGCCCATTTAAAACTTCTAGTACGGTCTCTGAGATTTAAGGCGCCGTCAACAAAAGCAAAAGGGCGGGTTTATCGAGGGGTTTTGGTGTATTTTGCGTTCCACAACTTCCATCCACATTCCAGAAGCATTCTTCTTCCTCTACTCATGAAGCATTTTCTGGTATTCTCGCACATTAATTCAAATTAATTTCAAATTTTGCTACTTCTCAAGAAACTTATGAATTTCCATCTGATTTCGGCAGAGAAAATTTTCAACTCGGAACCGGATTGCCGCCATCGCCGCTGCAGGGTCTGCTTTTTTGTACACCAACGGCAGCAGAAACTCCGGTGAGCTCCAAGCTCTTTTTTTTAGTTTGTTCCAAATAGAATTTTGATCTTTTCTTGTAGTCAAACACTTTTTGCTTGCTGGGCAATTGAGGACATGAGAAATTAAATGTTGGGTTTTGATCAAAATTTGAATTGAGATCGTGATTCGTTTGAGATGTTTTTGCGCTTAGCATTTATAAACTTTGATTTGAGGCTAAAAATTAGTGTGCTTTTAATCGATTAACTGTGATTATAGACCATTATTTGTAGCTGTAATAATCATATCATTGCTCATGAATTGGGTTTTAGACTATACGGCTTCAGTGTCAATCCCTGCGCCATTGCCCAAATCGCTGCGGCTTCCATGGCAAACGGAGCTATTGGCTCCGCTATTTTCTGTGGGAAATAGACCAGTTCCACCTTCAGATATAAGGAAGGATATTTATGGTGTTTCCCCATCTGAAGAGACCCCAAAGCCATGTTCTGGATGTTTGGGCAGAGATTCTTTCGCAAAGGCAGCTGCGAAGGTTGGTCCTGCTGTTGTCAACATCTCTGCTCCACAGGGTAAGCGTACATTTTTGGATGTTTGTTTTTCCTCTTTTGCTTTTTTATTTTTGAGGTAGTTGTGTATTATATTGTGAGATCAATGATGATCATAATTGTCAACTGAGTCTTGTAGGTGCATATGGGATCACTCCGGGAAAGAGTATAGGCTCTGGAACTATTATTGGCGAGGACGGTACAATTTTAACATGTGCTCATACTGTAGTTGATTTTTATGGCCTGAGAGCTTCATCAAAGGGGAAGGTTAGAAACTGCTTCCCAGTTTTCGTCATTTAAAATATCACATTGTTATATATACGAAGGGCATGTATTTCAAAGTTTAAAATCATATTTGAAATTGAAAATAATTCAGGTTAGGACATTATTAAGGATGTTGTAAAATGGGGTAAGAGTCGTAAGACTGAGTTATGAAATGCAATAGGTTTGATGTTTGGTGTAACTTGGTACAGGTTCATATCACTTTGCAAGATGGTAGAACATTTGAAGGCACCGTGGTCAATGCAGATTTACAATCCGATGTGGCTATAGTAAAGATCAATTCTAAAACCCCACTGCCAATAGCAAAGCTCGGCAGTTCGCGTAAACTTCAACCTGGGGATTGGGTGATAGCTGTTGGTTGTCCACTTTCACTTCAGAATACCGTCACAGCTGGTATTATAAGGTAAGTTATAATAATTTTGAGTAATAAGGAGTTGTTCTTTTCTTTTACCAGTTATGAAGTGGAACTTCTAGCAACACGAACAATTTCAAGCCTTCCATGTTATGTAGATGATAGATGTTGAGTAAGAAAAGCCAGCGTTGTGTCTTAAATTGACAATGGTAAGCACTAGTTCTTGCCTTTTCCTCATTTTGTTTTCTTCCTGAAATCTAGTTGTGTTGACCGAAAGAGCACTGATTTGGGTCTTGGTGGAGTGCGGAGAGAGTATTTACAGACAGATTGCGCAATCAATCCGGTATCTCTCTTACTCTTCATTGTGTGTGTCCCGTAATAATGACTATGAAATGTGTCTAAGACTCGGCTCCTTTTTTCTGGTCTCTCACTTGCGTGGTGCAGGGCAATTCTGGGGGGCCTTTGGTGAATATTGACGGAGAAGTGATTGGTGTTAATATTATGAAAGTACTTGCTGCTGATGGATTGAGTTTTGCCTTCCCAATTGATTCAGTCACCAAAATCATGGAGCACTTCAAGAAAAGCGGGTATACTTGTTTCAGCATGAAACTCATTAGTCTAAAGTCATAAGTCTTTGACAATTTGGTTTCCTTTATCACAGTATCTGTGAAGCTAATCGGTCACCTTTGGCAGGAGGGTTGTTCGGCCTTGGGTTGGACTAAAGATGATCGATCTCAATGAGATGATCATCAATCAGCTTAAAGAAAGAGATCCTACATTCCCAAATGTGAAGAAAGGCATTCTAGTGCCAATGGTATGTATATAGTTGCTTCCTTCCTTTATGCATATTTATCCAAATAGTAGCTGAATCTACCCGTGTAGAAAATATATCAGTAGATTCCATCCTATGGCAGTTTCTGAATTGCAAGATTTTTGAATGGCTTCCTAGCCAATCTGGTAATAGTACCTCCGTTGTTTTCCCTGCCTTGATATGCATCAGTATTGTCCAAAAGGGTATGTGATGTGCAAAAACAGACACGAGGCTGTTATGGAACGTTGGAATTCAACAAATAACACATTTATTTTCACTGGGTGCTATGAAACGATGAATAAGATTAATGCACCATGCTCTTACTTTTACTTCATCATGAATACCTTGACATTGTACATCCAGAGGAACGAACGTATTCCTGCTTGAGATGGCTGGATCGCTTGTCTGATAATCTGCCCAATGTTCGTGTAGGTAACTCCTGGATCGCCTGCTGAACGAGCTGGGTTCTGTCCTGGTGATGTTGTTATTGAATTTGATGGAAACGCTGTTGAGAGCATCAAGGAGGTATTGCCATATTGGAACCCGTACAATAATATCGTTACAGTTTGGATTGAAAGTGAATGCTATAGTGTGAAATATTTAAGAGTCAGTTTTTTGTTGCTGAAATTTGTCTGAGTAGACATCGATAGTATTTGCTCCAAATTTTAGCATATGACTTGGTTAATGATGGTTCATATTATTGGTGAAATCGTGACAGATCATTGAAATAATGGGAGACCGAGTCGGGGTGCCCATCAAGGCAGTCGTTATACGAGCGAGAGACGAGATAGTGACTTTAACGGTGATCCCAGAGGAGTCCAATTCAGATATGTGATTGGAAAGCGTTTAGGTTTCATACAGCCGACCTCATTTAGCAGTTTAAAGCTTTATTGTTGTTGAATGAAAAGCGTTTGTGTACAAGATGTTTGCTGTGTCCGATTCCTGTAAAATCCCGTGACGAAAAAGTACAAGAGTGTATGCATTAGCCAGCCAGTTTGTACGTGTTCATGTAAGCTCGAAAAAACACTCTCTATATTGATGTGAATCGTTTTGTAACTCAAATATCGTCTATTTCTTCCTTCATTGGACGAAGAACGTAGCGTGGACTTGTATCTAATCTTACGTATGTAAATCTGGCAGAAACGTACAGTAAGGTCAAAATCGAACTAATCAACGCTGCGAACCAGAAGTTTGGAGACAAGTTTATTTACAATGTTGAAATGTTGAACAATCTCTAGCACAATCCTTATTTCCTCAGATATTTACAATGAACTAATTTCAACCCCAAGCAATGTAAGGGACAAAAGGACGTAATATAACAGGAGTCATTACCAAAACTGTATATTTAGACTACTTCAGGAGGTTTCTTCTGGCTTAAGAAAGTTATGGTATTCAATCTGAGTCATCCCTCCTCCGTTTACGGGGTCAAACTGGCATCGGTAGAAGCTGCAACGGTAATCCGATAACTGGATTAGACGAGTAGTATTCAGAAGCGGGAAAGAAAAGAACAAACAATATCAAAATCGCGTACCTTCCGTCCATGCCAAGAATCACCACCGTGTTCTTCTGGTGGCCAAAGGCAACAGTGTACCGCAGACCTTCCGGCAAGTGATATTTAGCCACTGACCACTCTGAGGTGAAATACTTTGGCAGCACACCGGAGAAGGATAAACCTAGAATGAAACCGAAAGAGACCATGATCAGAATCCGCAACTGCTATTCATTTAGAAATTTACGTTAATCTAAAGCTCCTGCGGATTTGGGAACAAATTTCCTTGCCACCAATGCAGCAGGCATAGGATATTCCGAGTGACAGCGTCTGCAAGTTAACCGAAGAGCCCTCCAGTATAAACTATGCAAAGTATATTACCTTTCATGAAAGAGAGAGATGAAATGCCCAACGGACTCGGGGGACTGGATTCTGATGAACTGCTTGATCTCTCACCCCCCAAGGATCCCGAATCAACCTTGACGCTGAAAACATGGACGGTGCCCTTGTCACTTGACGCAGCTAGCCATTGTGCACCAGAGGAGAAAGCAAGACTGAAAATCTCTGCTCTCTCGGCTCCTCTCCTTACCTACACAAGATACCAAGTAAGCTCTCAAATATAGCACACAGCTCCACAGCTTGTAATGCCACAGATAACACCTAAATTTATGACAAATCGGTTCCCGAATCATGCTTGGTTTTCGGGCTTCGCTCAAACTTCGGTTGCAAGGAAACCGCTACCATGTCGATTTTGAGCCTAAACCCTTAATCAAGCATGAACCAAATCCTATCAATCATGAATGTCAGACTCATTACTGAGACAAATTGTTCCCAAAAACCAAACTTTGACAAAACTTGATAGGACAGTAATTCGATTCGGATTCGAATAAACTTCATAGGCATGAACAATGGCACCCAAAAACACATTAATTTGAAAACATTGAGGGGGGTGTATTCAATTCAGAATTTGAGAGATTTTACTGGATTTTTATAGAGTTTAATTGATTTGTAGAGATTCCATATAAAATTTTGATTCAATTCTTTCGAAATCTCATAGGAGAGATAAGATTTGTGGATGCTTAAAATACACTATGAAATCTCTCCAATTCCCTTTAATTTCTCAATTTTCTCAAATTCTTTAAAATCAATTTCTAATTGAATACCTTTATAAACTTCTTTAAAATCCTAATTGAATACACCCAAATTTCTAAGAATTTTAATAAATTATCTTAAAATTTTAATTGAATTAATCACTTAAAATCTTGAATACTTCTGTATTCATTAAAAGAATTAAAATCCTTCAAAATCCCGAATTGAAATTTAAATACCTCTTGCAGTAATGAACCATCCAAAGCATTGAAAATCCGAATCAATGTCCCTTTACTGCTGGCTGTAGCGAGCAGCCGGCCGTCCTGCGTGAGCCCCAAGCAAGAGAGCACAGAATCGTGGGCGGCAATAAACTTGGTCCGCTTTGACCCGTAATGGTCGACCCGAACTTGACCCTTTTGGAGCCCCGGGCACACCAGCACGGGGTGACCCGAACACTGCGAGACCTCGCAGAGTCCTTTGGGGTTCGAGATGGTCATGATCTGATGCTCGAGCGTTAAGCTGGTGATACTGTAGAGAAAGATTTTGTGCTCCAAAACGACGACGATTTGGTCGCGGCGGAGCCTGACGCTTCTTACCTCCGATCGGAAAGCGAGCTCGGCGTAGCACCGCGACTCTTTGTCGTCCCACATCATGACTTTGTTGGGCGGGTAAATCGGGTCGGGACCGCCGCCGACTAGGGCGAGGATTTGGGAGCGGAATAGCATTTGGACCATTCCGACGCCCCGCTGACCGGAATCGCGGCGGAAGAGCTCGCGGACGGGGTTGCAGTTATAGACGCGGAAGCCGGAGTCCGTGGCGACGGAGAAGCAGACGTGGTCCTGGTTGAAGGACAGGTGGTGGAGCTTGGGGATTTGGTTCGGGTTCGGGTTCAGGTTCAGGTTCGGGCCTGGGCTTGGGTATTGGGTGGAGACAGAGTGGGAGTCGCCGGGTTCGGAATCGGAGGCCGAATTGGGAGGCTGCTGTGACTGAGGCTGCGGGTGTGCCATGTTGGTTGTGTTGAGTAAATCAGGAGTCCAGTCTAGAAGGACGAATTGAAAAGGCGGGGAGGAGACGGCGGTCATGGATTAATCAAATTACGGTGGCCGGCGAAGTGTTGGAAATTTGGGATTTTTATACAAATTTTAGGACAACTGAAGATTTTAGTCTGGTTTTTGCTCTAAAGCTGTGAACTTTGAAGTGTGGAAGGAAATATTTATAGCTCATGCAAAATAAATAATTTTTAAAATCCGAATTCGCTATGAACAATATTTGCTTTACCTTCTCAGGTTATGACACGTAAAATGTTTTGACAACAAACCTTGTTTTTTATTTTTTCAAGGAGACTAGCAGGTATCTTCACTAAGGTAGTTAATTATTATCGGGGTCGGGAAGACTTATAGAGACATTTCAGCATTCCTCTGATCATTATCTAGTGATTCACGAGGGCCAAAAATTGAACAAAAAATTATGTTGGTGTGAAATACAGGCTTGAAATTTGTTCTCGAACATCGGGTCACCTATGCCTATTTGGTTTAGAAATTATTAGCAATGCATATTTTATAATATTGATACCATTAAATAGTAAAGTGACAAATAATTCATACAGAGTCATACTTTTGAAGAGAATTTCCTTATTATTTCTCTTTTATTTTTGCACAAGTTAAATCACAACGTATAAATTATGAGAGATTATATTCACACACCTCAAATTACTTCTCCTACACCTTTTTAATTTTTTTAATATTTTCTACAAAAATTAAAAAGGTGTGGAAGAAATAATTTGGGGTATGTGAATATAATCTCTCAAATTATTGAATTATGAAAGTTACTAAAGAGTATTTTAGGTATAAATTAGAATAAAATAAAGAGCTGGTTCGTTGGTTACGGGTTTGTAATTACGTGCTGAATTAGCAAAAGACATTATCTATGTTGTAGGCTTTATATAGCGATAAAGAGAGGTCTATCAACTACCGACTAATTATTTAATCAAGTATCTCACAGTGGGTTTTATATTCAAACGGTCTAAGACATCCACTGTTACGTGGTTTCGTTTTGTTTTTGTTTAAAAAGGATCAATTGATGGTTTGGTCATGACAATTTATTTTTTAAAAAACAGAGAAGACTCACAGAGGTATTTTAGTCTTTTTCTAGCCACTATCGTGTAATTCACCAGCTACAAGAATCGAACTCAGGACATGTAGTGTGAAATAGGAGTATTAAATTCGTCCACAACCACTGAGTCACTTCGTAGGAATTCTATCACGTGGGTTAATTATTTGAGATTTTCCTTTTGAAAAAAAATAGTATTATAATAATTTTCCTACTTTTACTAGGAAATTCTCACTTTCATGGATCTAAATCCTACACGAGTTGGGAATTATATAAGTATTCAATTTTGAGGGTAATATATAGATAATATATGAGACTGATAATATGTGCATAAGCAATTTAGGGTAGAGATTATATTATATTTAGGTTGAAACTTGACATGGATATTATATTTAGGTTGAAACTTGATATGGATGGGCAAACCATCAACCAAATCTAACTGAATAAATAATGGGGTTGAGGCAGGATTGGGTTTGGACGAATTTTTAGTTTATTCTAACTCGTCTGTTCAGATTTAAAATCAAGTTAGGCATAGGTGGATTCAAGTTGACACAACCCAAAGTTGCACCCTTAGTGAGGAGCATATTTTTACTAGGAAATATCTTATACGAATTTGGCAAAAGATGATAATCGGTAGACCAATTTTTTAGAACAAATTTTCAAATTATATGATGTGTCACCTATTTGAAAGAGAATTATTATTAACACTTCTAAAATGTTTTTTTTTTCTTTTTGAATATAGAGAGTTTTAACCGCAACTTAAGAATTTTAAAATACCAATAATAATTTCTATATGAAATTAGCACGTTAAAACACTTAATTCAATTATTAATAATCACGTCGTATAATTTATGCAATATAATTTAAGGGGCTTTTAGATCCAGGTCCAAAAACATAGATGATTTTTTAGAGTGAGTCCAATTACCTAATTATATGTATTTATTTTTTTTAATGCTCATTTTATATTTTCTAAAAATATTAAAAATCAATTAAAATCTTCTAATATTATGCATTTTCAACCCCAAAAAATATAATTAATATCATATAACAAAAAAAATATATATATATATTGTCATAAATCTATATGCAAATCATTCTACCCTAACTCAAGTAGCAAAAATATGAATGTATATCATACCTATAAGTAAGATATGAAAATTAACTAAAAGGTAGAAAAAAACATAATATATCTACAAGCAAGACACATGAATCTTACTTGATTATAAAAAAGAATATGTCATATAGGTAGATAAATATAATTAACCTATGATATAGGTTGATTATAAAAATAAAAAATAAAATCTATAAATGGAGTTTAAAACGGGATAAAGAAAAAGAAAGAACCAAAAAAAAAAAAAAATTAATAATAGTCAAAGAGATAATTAGGAAGAAATTTGATTTTATAATAAATATTATCATTGAAGAGATAATTATTGATAATAAAATAATAAGAGTTAAGGGATTGAATTTATTTTAATAAATTAGACTATTCTTATTATTGGCTCAAAAAATAGGACCTATATCAAGTTTCCCCTTAATTTAAATAGGATAGGACCTCCAACATTACCCGCTTGACAAATATGTCTAACACTTATGCAAGCGACCATTTTTTACAGTGGTGAAAATGTATTGAGCATCTTGTATAATAGCATGGTTCAAATCTCATCGGTAACTAATCAAATATCTAATGTAATAAAATTTTAACAAAAAAATAAAAAAAATAAAAAAAATGTCCAACACTAACAAATTTTCACGTAACAGCCACTATTTCACTCTCGAGGTTGAACAAAAAATCCCAAATTCTCCAAAACTATCTCCATCTAGGGGTTTTTTAGGGTTTAATCAAATTCCATCGACGCTTCTCGCCTGAATCAATCTCTACTGCAAATCAATCGCAATGGCTCGTAACGAAGAGAAAGCGCAGTCGATGCTCAATCGATTCATTACCCTCAAAGCCGAAGAGAAGAAGAAGCCAAAAGAGCGACGCCCATACCTCGCCTCCGAGTGCCGCGATCTCGCCGAGGCCTCCAGATGGCGGCAGCAAATCATGGGGGAGATCGGCCGGAAAGTTGCCGAGATCCAGAACGAAGCCCTCGGGGAGCACCGGACCCGCGACCTCAACGACGAGATCAACAAGCTAATTCGAGAGAAGGTCCATTGGGAGCGGCGGATTGTGGAGCTGGGAGGCCCAAATTATGCCAAAAACGCCCCTAAGATGACCGACCTCGACGGTAATATTGTCGATGTTCCAAACCCCAGCGGCCGCGGCCCGGGGTATCGATACTTTGGAGCGGCGAAGAAGCTGCCCGGAGTCAGAGAGCTTTTCGAGAAGCCTCCGGAGCTGAGAAAGCGGAGGACGAGGTATGATATATACAAGAGGATTGATGCTAGTTATTATGGGTATAGGGACGATGAGGATGGGATTTTGGAGAAGCTTGAGGTGGAGGCGGAGGAGAAGATGAGGGCGGAGGCGGTGGCGGAGTGGAAGAGGATGGAGGAGATAAGACGTGAGGCGAGGAGGGCGGTGAAGAGCGGGGAGGTGGTGTCTGCAGCAAAGGTGAAGGAGGTTTTGTTTGAGGAGGAAGAGGAGGTGGTGGAGGAGGAGAGGCAGAGGGAGAAGGAATTGAAAGAGAGGAGTGAGCAGGAGAGGGAGTTTGTGGTGCACGTGCCGCTGCCGGATGATAAGGAGATTGAGAAGATGGTGCTGGAGAAGAAGAAGAGGGAGCTGCTGAGTAAGTATACCAGTGATGAATTGATGGAGGAGCAGACTGAGGCTAAGGAGATGCTTAACATTAAGCGCTAGACTTTCGACGCCAAGACAGAGTATGTTACTCATTCACTGATAGAAAGCTGTTACCTTTTCGCTTATCAAATAGTTGTTACCTGTGTTAAGTATTTGTAAAATTTTTAGATGATGAAACATGTTCAATTTGTCACCGAGGAATTATTTTTCGAGGAGCTGCAGTAGTTGTTATTATCAATTGACTTTTACCAGTTTTGTTTGCCTTTTTTTACCATATCTTCTAATCTTTGATCCAAGTTTAATTAGTTTGTCATTGCTGCTGAGTTCATCCGCTGACCACTTTCGTTTTATGCTATAAGAAGCTCCGGAAACAAAGAGCATATCGAATGTTTAGTTTATATGAATGTAGTTTAGGAGTACAAGTATAAGATTTAGAGTGTCTAAAAGTGTGTAGGTTTGGGTGCAAGTTCTTTGAAGAAGCAACTACATTATACTCATGTCAGGCATGGTCTATGCTTTAATTATATAGGTTATATAGGTGTTCTGATGGTTGAGAAACTTCGTTTCCTCTTTCGGACTTAAGACCTTATGAGCTTCTTGAAACAGTCCAACCTCTGAAATAGAGCAGTAGAGTCGGAACACCTTTGCAGTTTCTATGTAAGTTGAGGAATATGCGTTTGAGATTACCGTGTTTTGGAACTTGAAATAGCATATGCTTGGAACCAAGATGGAGGTTTTATGAATTGTTTAAAACTATTGTGTTGGATTGACAATTTTACAACTGCAAGGCATGATGATAGTCGTTGCCGATTTCATCATTTACCTTGTTAATTGGTTCTGTTACACTCTACTCCCTAATAAACTGGGTGGTTAACAGATAAGACTGATGAGTACGCGGTTACTAATCTTCTGTATTGTTTATCATCATGTGAACTTAGTTTAAGTTGTGGTTGGTTAAGTTATGTTGTAATTGATAGAAACCGATTCGGTTTCTTTGTGCGTTGCTGTTAATTTTACGTGTATGAGGTTATTTTGTTGAAATTGTACATTGCATCGGTAGTTCGTAGCCAAAGAAAGATGTACATAACATTCTCTGCTTCTTGATCCCCAGCTCCGCACGATTCGGCAATTCGACAAGAACAATAGGGTTCTGGTCAATCTATTAACGAATCGAGTTGTTATCAAGTCACTTGTTAAGAACTCGTTAATGATTTGGATCGTTATCAGGGTAAACCCGTTGAGATAAGGAGAGTAAAAATACGCTTTGTTCGGCATCACAGACGTTAAACGCTAAAACTCCCCAACAAAACAAAACTACAAGAAAAAAAAAAAAACTAAAAAAGTAACAAATTAAACAAATTTAAAACACCGACAAAAAAATTACTAGAAATCAAAGCCTCCACCAAAGTCACCACCACCGAACCCGGCATCGTAAGAAGCCATCTCACCCACATCACTAATCATATCCCCAATCAACAATCCACCCAGCAACCCAGCTCCTACACCCAGCGCCATGTTTCCTCCTCCCCTCTTAGGCTTCTGCGGCCGCACAACTTGCTGCGGCGGGTACCCATACCCGGGCTGAGGCGGGTATCCGTACGCGGCCTGTGGCGGTGGTGCGTACCCGTAACCCGGTTGCTGATGAGGCGGTGGTGGGTACGCACCGGGTTGCGGGTATGAGTAAGCTTGGGCAGGTACCCGGGAGCTTGACCCGGGGTGTCCGACAGGGTAAGCCATCACGGGCTCATGGGATTTCTTCTGGGGCTCCGGAACCGAAAACTTGTCACCAAATTTGTACCCGAAATTGATGGTCCCCTTGGGCTTTCCGCTCGACGATCGGACGCTGTAGCTGACGTGGTTGCTCTGCTTCTTCTGAGCATCGCCGCCGCCCATGCTGTCGAGCAGCTCCTTGAGCGGAATCTTGACCTTGCCGATCTTGGTGTCTCCCAAAGTGCGCTCGGAGACGAGCTTGATGTTGAGGGTGAGGCGGTTGTGGAGGAGGGCGGCTTCGTCGACGGTGAACTTGATGGGGTAGCTGTTCCATTTGGGGTTGGTGCCGCCGTCCTTGACGACGGGGGTCTTGGTCTTCTGCTTCCTGTTACGGGGGTCGCCGGCGACCGAAACGACGGCGTAGACGTCCATCTTGGAGAAGAGGTTGACGTCCTTGAGGCCGTTGGCCGAGTCGATGATTACCTCCAGAGGCCTGCAATCCATGGCGATGGTTCGATTGAACTGAATTTCTTGAGAGCTGTAGGATATTGGAAGAAGAAAATTGAATTTATGGAATTGGGAAACTGGAAATTGTGAATCGCTGGATACAAATCTTGAATTTATATAGGGAGGGAGAGAGGTTAAAGACAAGAGCAAGGGAAGTTTCTACGAGCAAGGGAGTAAGGGGTCAAGGAATTTAGAACGTTGTAATATTTGTTTAATTTCGGTTTCTGGTATTTCCTAGAATATTTGTTTACGCGGATCTTGAGTTTCTCCAATGCGCGTGGCCCGCGTGGGGTGTTGATTTCTTTCTTTCTTTAATTTCAAGGAAGCGTGACAAAACATTAAAAACAAGTATTTTCATCAAGATCACCGGATCAAGTGATCCAGATTTTTAAAATTTCATTCAATGATAAAAAATTATTATAGTTTTTAAGATTTCAAAACAGCTGGATTGTTAGATAAAATTTCAAAGGTTTGGATCACTTGATCTGATAATCTTTGTGGAAAAGATCCCGAAAGGATCTCTTTCCTTTCCAATCTAAGTTGTTTTATGGCGTGCCACTCGAACTCCGTAACAAATCGCTATTCTGATCATTTGTGGAAATTTGAACATGTAATTAGCGAAAAATTTGAATGGAATGAATGAAAAACTAACGCCATGCGGGAAATTGGCCAAAAAAATTAGTTTAAATCTTTAAATTTTCAATTGAAAAGTTTAGAGGGAAAATCAAAAGCTGAGTGAAAGTTCAGAGAAAAATCGACAGTATACAAAAAAATTATGAAATGACATTATAACTTAACATATCGGGTGGACAAAAAAATTATACAGAATGTCAAATTACCACAGAAATAACAAATGTTATTTTGATGTTTAAAATTTAATGTCTTATTTGAAAATGCTCTAAATAGAGAAATCATTTTTCACTGATAATCATAATGTAATATTATTAAAATTGAACATTGCATAATGATAAATCCTTTTTATATAAATCCTCAATTCATCAAAATAATAAATCAAATACAAAAAATCCCCATTTGAAGGCCATAACTTAACAGTGAAAACACATAAAATAGAACCATGAACTGGTGATCCAGTAGTAAATGACGGATTGTGAAACTTCCTTCAAATTAAAAACTAGAGGTTTTGGGTTTAAAACCCGCTGCTGGTTTGAAAACCAGATTTGTGACCATGAGAGGTTGAAATGTCATTGTGATTCTTCCTGATCTCTGAAAATGATGAATAACTTAGCTTAAAAAACACGTAAAATGGGGACGTGGGAGTCGCTTTGGTCGATGCTATCGTCATATATCATCGTCACCCAAATTCAAAGGATATTTTGATGATATGGCTGCTGAATGGAATTGGAATACAATTCTCTGCTATAAAAAGACAAAAAAATGGTATTTAGGATAAGCTTTCACCTCCACCGCCCACGCGTAATGTGATGTTGGTCCTTTTCTCATTATTCTACCCTTTTCCACATCTCCAACTTTACAACTTGCACCTTTCAATTTATAAGCACCAAGTAATTCAAATTGTTTGGAAAAATAATTTTTAAGCTTTCATTTTCTTTTTTGCATTCTTATTTTTATTTTTTATTTAATTTATTCAATACAACGGTGAAAAAAAAAAAAAAAAACTAATAGAAAGATATGCAAATACCAAGGCTTCGTTAAGAATACTCACTATCGCATTCGAGCACTTTTGAGTTTTATTTCCTTTCCCCTATATCACTTGTATAAAAAAAAAAAAAAAAAAAAGTAAACCATAACGCATACCACATAAAAAACACCCTTATCCATTAACAGGTAACATCTAGGAATCTCTTTATATAATGGCATCCACTGTGTCCTCTTCAAGTTTCTCCTTTTGTCCACCCCATTATAAAAGTTGGCGATGAGGGATGACCAAAAGTAAAGAATTTGGTGGATGGATGCTAAGATATTAGAAACTAGTACTGTTCTAATTAATTATTAATAGAGCATCTTTAATAACATAAGCAATCAAAATGCATAAAACTGTATTGTAGAGGTAGACGTGGCCTGTTATACACTCAATTGTCTCGTGAAAAAAATTTATCACTTTAGTGATCTTAACATTTACTTTACCTTTTAATTTTATCATTTTCTTCTACATAGAATATTTTACTATAAAAAGAGACGTAAAGCTCCATTTGCTTACTCATGGTATTGTAGGCAACATTGTCTACCATTGTAGGCAAAATCTGTAAACTCAATTACCTATACTATACCATTAGGGCTATTTTTTGCCTATGTGACTCATCAAAATAGATCTGCCTACTTGATTGCCTGCATCATTTGCTATGCTTAGAACTATTTGGAATAATCCCAAGTCCACAATGTATAGCTTAATTGGTAACCATATATTTAATCAAGTCACTTTCTTTCGTACAAGAAATTTTCTTCTCCTTTTGTTGTCTTTTGTAAAGTTCTATACACTTCTATGCCACTAAAAAGTGCAGAGAAAATTCCTTGGTTAGTCAATTTGCAAAACGCTTCAACCAAATTGTCAAAATCATAATACGCAAGAACAAACTTTCGACCACACACACAAAGCATCCGACCCCTTTTGTATTTTGGTCCCACACAATCCTTTGTGTCCGGTGCCTAATACGATATTCGGACACAAAGCTCTTTCGTTGGCCGGAAAGCTGTATTCCGGCAACGGACCAAAAGGCAAACCCACCCTAACCAAAAAAATGCAAACAAGACGGCACTATCAATATCATATCATCAGTACAATAGAGTATTCAACTTGCAAAAACTACATGTAAAGTTGACGCTGAGTCTACAATTCGCTTCGTATCGTTGGTTTCTCCTCCTCTAACAGCTTTCGAGCCTTATGCTGCGTTCAAATCTCGTTGTTGCGGTCTTATAGCGTAATAATTTTTCGAGGCTTCTTCGTCAAAGAGGATGGTACGGCAAATAGCCAAGCAAGCCCTGCACGTTGGATACAACGTCGCTGCACCTTATCAACAAGCTAAGCATCTGCTGCGAAATATCGACGGTGCTGGTGGGTGTGCTTGGAAATGCGGTGGGTGGTGCGTTAAGATTGTGACTAGTATTTCTGGGTGGTGCCATTTCGGAATGCTGCGGAAAATTACCCTGGGGTGGGGGTTTTGCATATTGTGGAGGTGGACCAGGAGGATTAGGGAGGAGAGGAGGCAATGGTGATGAAAAAGTTGGAGGAGGATTGACCTTTTGAAAGTTCCTAGAAGTATTAAAATCCATAGCAACAGAAGTAGAAGACGGTGCACCGTCGACGTCCGCAAAACTAGCACTGTTGTTCTTGTTGAAGTTATTTCTATTACCAGGCATCATGAATTGATCAGAAGTAGTAGTCCTACTAGTTTCTTCCCTACCCAACATGAATTTTACACGTGCAGTCCCTTTACTATTTCCATTCCCACCGGTTACCTGCCCTCCTGCCGACTCCTCGCCCGACGACTTCTTCAGAATCGACTTCAGCTGCACTGCACTCTGTTGAGCCTGCCGCTGCTGCTGTCTGAGTGCCGATGCCAATGCTGGTGATTGCCCAACCAATGGATCCTTGGCCCGTGGGGTGTCCCTGGGATTGTCACCCTTGTCGAACTCTGGAACTTCAGGACCGCCCACTTCTCGAATTTGACACCTCACACTGAAGTTGCCGAAAAGGGAGCTGTTTGCGGTAGCAAACTTAAATGCTGCATGTGCATCAGATTTGTACAGAAAGACAACCCGGCATGTCGAGGACTTCCAAAAGACACGGAGACCAGACTGATCCATCGGCCCAAATCGAGCAAACTTTGCCTTCAGTTCTGCAGGTGATGGGAGAGAGATTTGGGGAGGGAACTTCAACACCAGCATCGTGGGCTCAACTGCCTTTGATGCAGGGTCCGCTTTCTTTGCAAAACCTGGCTTGAGTGACTTCCGCATAACCGGTGTTGCTGATTCCTTTGCCTCTACACGCTTGGAGTCTATAGGAGGTCTCTGAATGGCCTTCTTTTCTGCAGCCAATGTTCTTATATCAGTAATTTTCTTGTTCCTCTTAGCTGCAATATCTCCTTGACGGTCAGATGGAGCACGTTTCCGCCCAGCTATGGTAGGATCGTCGGATCTGAACATGGGTTTTGCTGGCTTTGAGGACGATAAATCTCTAACTTGCTCAGTAGGAGATGTATCAGAGGCTTTGACACCAGATGAAGATTTAGAGGAGCGACCTTCAACAGGTTCAGTCTCTGAGGGTGGTGACAGAACCAAACTTTTCTGGTAGACAAGGGACCGGAAGTGCAGAAAGAACTGCCGAACGATTGTAGGGCTGTTTGTCTCAATACCGTGAAAAGGATCAAGAGCAAGGGCTTTCAAATCACTTACCAGTTGTGATAGTTCAAGCTGCACATTTTCCAAGCCATGAATTGGCAATTTTCCAGCAGATTCAGACAAGTTACCACTGGAAGTGACATCTTTCTTATGTTCAACCTGTGTATCCTCTCTCGGAGCCAAACCTACAAGGTTGGCATTTCCTGCTTCTTTACTCCCTGAGGGCAGTGCCTTTCCAGAAGTCAAAGGCTTCTGCTGATTTCTAACGCTTGCTTCCACACTTAACTCTTTCTTCTTTTTCTTCTTCTTTTTATCCCCCATCATAGAGTCCTTGGTGTCCAAGTCCTCCGCAGGCCGTTTAAGAACCTTCAGTTTTTTCATTCCACCAGCAGCTTTCTTCCCACCTAAACTCTTTGCCTCAATTGGCAAGGGATCTCCAACACCACGTTCATAGCCTCCTTCCACTTTTTTCAAAGAATTTGAAGGTTGTTGAAGTTTTTCAAATGATCCAGACAATTTTTCACTCTCTTCATATTTAAACTCAAACACACCCTCACCTTCCTGCTTTAACGGTTGTGATGTACCATCTATTGTACGTTGCTTGGTCTCCTCCCCCAATAAATCAACATATCCTGTAGTTGTAGGACCTACATCTCCACGTCCCTCTTTTACTTCGTGCAGAGCCCCCCTTCCCTTTGCAAGAGAT